TCCTTAATTTTTATAATTTTTTGTGTCATTATTTATTTATCACATATACACCAGTATGACAATAATGAGTGTTTGAGAGAGGGGCTTGGTGGGTGGGGGTGTAATTGTACTGAAAAAACACACGAATTGGTTGGGGCTACACCATGCAGCAAGATTGGTGGATCCTTGATCATTTTTGTCATCAATAATATTATAAATTCATTCTTGTCAATTCATAATTTATTTTAAAAAAAATTAATGATTCAAATTCATTTTATATGTAAATTACACACTTCATCAATTCAATCTCTACTACACAAACAGATTCAGAATAAATTCTTGATTCATAAGGATGGTTCCTAATATTTTTCTTTTGTGATCCTAGACACACATAATGATAATGATACTTATGCTGCAAATAATAATTATATATACATATATATATATATATATGTTAACTGTAAATGTATATTTAAAATTTATTTACAAATTAATAAATAAGTAATACGAGTTAAATTTAAAATTTATTATTAATGATTTATTAGAGGAATTAATAAAGTGAATATTCTTATAAAAAATGTGACAAATTTTTAAAATTATTTTAAATTGTGTATTTTATAGAGTATAATAAATACAATGTACATACAAGGCAATGCCCACGGATTTAATGCAAAAAAGTTAGCAGACCCCTCCCAATTCTGACACACTATTTTTGTCCACTGCCCTTAGTTGTTAGGGGTAAGTCTCATTATTCTGTTCCTTTGTGTATTGATTGTGGTGTAGGGGACCATTGCAACCCAAGCCAACTTTTTGTCATTTTGTCCTTGGGCTTTAAAGGCCAACCCTACTTCCTCCAATTTCAAGGGCTCCACTAATAAGCTAATTTTGCCATGGTTACTAATTAATAACCTCAATATTAACATTAATAATTTTTCATACAGATAAATATAAAGAATGTACATGTCAATACGGTAGAATCATTACGGGTTGAAAATAGTGATAATATTAGCAAATGACGATAATTCTAATGGACATTATCCTATGGACACGCACTTTAATTTGGTTTTATAAAAAAAAACAATTTTTTTAGTAAAAATAAATCCTAAAAAGATATTTTTGACCCAAAAAAATCATACGAAAATAATAATTTTTTTAACAAACTAATTTTAATTTTAAAAATAAAAATTAAAATTAACATCATAGATTTTGATACAAAACCAAGAGCGTTCTATATTTTAAGTGTTTTTGTTTGATTTAATTTTGTATATGCTAATAAACTTGGAATAATAGTTCCAACTACCGAACAGAACACCACTTGCTAAAAAGGGTACAATCAAAGGAACTGGACCCTTTGATCTCTTCTTTTAAGGGCATACACAGCCTGGACTTATGGTACCAATTAAAAAAGGCAATACCATAAAAATAAAAAAAAATAAAAAAACAAATGCATAAGTTTGGATTGGAAACATTAAAAATCATCGTGTGTTTTTTATTAGGGGGGGCACTGAAATGACCAGGCAAACTTGATTCTTGACCTGTTCAAAAAATATAATCATTTCAATATTTATATCAAATTGTATATTTATAACATTTTGACACTGTAATATTATTAAAATTTAATTTGTAACATTTCTATTTTGACACCAATAATTAGAAGGGTAAGAGAGAGGCTCAAACAGTCATGTTTCACAGTCAAAGTCCAGCCGACTGTGGCAACCCAACCTAGTGGTGTGGACTCTCCATTGAAATTTAAGTCCCAAAAATCTATAAATAAACAAATAAATAACCTCGAAATTTAAGTGAGGGGACCCAATTATGATCATTGGTTACACATCACTGTCCTTAGGGCTGGGCCTCGGCTGGGCCTGGTGGGTTTTGAATGAGTGAAAGCCAGCCAGTGCGGCACTGCCAAGCTCTTGGCTCAAAGCACCATCCACAATCCATAATCCATAAATTTTGAAAATTTTATTATTTTAATGTTATTTTTATTTTTGTACAAAAATAATTCTTCAAAAAAACAAAAACAAAAACAAAAACAAAAACAAAATTGGCATTTCCAAAAGGTGGGTTGTTTTCATTAAAAAATTAAATTAAATTAAATTAAATTAGTTTATAATATAGTTCATCAAATATATTTTCTATATATATATATATATTTATAAAATCAAATACAGAAAAATAAAAAAAATAACAAGGTAACCATTTTCATGTAAGTAATCATTAGCATTAAAATATCCCCATAAATTCTCAAAATTAATTAAAGTCCCTTTTTTTTTTTTTTTCTCGTAAGGTCAATAAATCTTTATTAGTTTGTGATCACTATAGAGAGAGAGAGAGAGAGAGAGAGAGAGAGAGAGAGGAGAGGTTATAATATAGATCCATCATCCATGCTCTACTATGACCAGACACAAAAGGGCATCTCCTTAGAATAAAATTTTTGCTTCTTAATCATCTTAATTATTTCTATACATCTAATAATTCAGAGGAACTAAAAAATTCATTAAATTGAGAGATAGGTAGCCAACTTTATTTCTAACCCTAAAAATAATAATAATAATAATTGCGAATAATTATTTAGTATTTCAAGAGTTACCCAACATAGGAATGATATTTTTGGACCAATAAGAGTAGTAACTATGTGATAAGTAGATCCGAGACTGATCTCGGTTGGGTTGGGTGTGGGAGATAAGATCAACCCATCTATTCTCTTCTGCCCAATCTCATTAGTTGAAGACACGACATGAAGTGATGTTTTGAACTATTGAATAACTTTTCATAATGTTTGGTCAATTATTTATCAAAAATGATTGATCACACGCATGGAATCTATGGACCCTGATGCTGATAAAAATTTGTAGCTTCTGCCACATGTAATGAGCATCTTAGGGGTGAGATAGTTCAGACCAATGGACAAGGTGGGACTCATAGTTTCTGATTTTTGCAAAAGTTATGATTAATTTGATTCGCTTTTGTTAATAGAATACTTTAAACTTTAGTTTAGAGTGCTCTTAAAAGTCATTCAATTGGGTTTTAAGGCAAAGCCATTCTTTGGACTTTTCCAAAAAAATGTGTTCTTAATTTCTATTTGTATAGAGAAAAAGAAAGTTTATTTATATAACATAATTAGTCTATTTTGAGGCTGTTGGTATTAGAAGATAACCTTTAAAAATAATTGTTTATAACCTCCTTTTAACCACAACAAATTAGTCTATTGGCCACGAATCTCTACGGCTCATAAGAAAATCTGATATTCGACCACAAATCTCTGCAGCTTATAAGAAAATCCGATATTCGACTTTTCTAACCCATGTGTAAGTGTTTCTTAATATTTATTTTATGGCTTTCTTATGTTTACAAGTTTTATCGGATTTTTAGTTGCATTCTTTCCCAGTTATTGTCCAGTTTGATATAATTTTTTTATGATATTTGTAATTCACCCCTACCAAAAAAGAAAAAGAAAAACCCTCCAATAATTGTGGGAATCAATTTCAATGCTAAGCATATTAATGGCTAGTCCAGCATAAGAACAATAAAAGGCACAAGTAATTCAAATTACAAAAAATTACAAATAAGTAAAAAGATTTCAAAATAATTGCAAAAATAAAGAAACTACAAGTGGTCATGTGCCAACGTACATACGCCACTGGTACTTACATATTTCTACAACTATTTTTTTTTTTTTTACCTAAAATGGCATTTCGGGGCATTCGAGCCCCGAAGCCTCGGGCCCTCAATCAGCGCCCGTAATTCAAATTACAAAAAAGTAAAAAGATTTCAAAATAATTGCAAAAATAAAGAAACTACAAGTGGTCATGTGCCAACGTACATACGCCACTGGTACTTACATATTTCTACAACTATTTTGAGTTCTTTCTACAAATTTGCAATTCTCCACAAAAAAAAATATAATTGGTTTTTATATATACATTTAGCATTTGTTGTTGAATCTATACGTGTAAAAAATAGGTAAAATTTATTTATGTGAGAAACAATAACACTACGTACAAGAGGAGTTGAGACCCTCTCCTTGCCTCCCTATTTGCAACCGTAAAGATGCATTTTGAGTCGATTCAACGGTCCAAATTTAGACCAAAAAAACAAATTTGAATTTGTTTTATTATTTTTATATTTTTAAATAGCCAAATCTAAACTATTGAATCAACTCAAAGTGCATTTCCACCGTTGCAAGTACAGAGGTAAGAAAAGAGCTAAGGCGAGGATCTCAACTCGTACAAGAGAGGGAGGTTTGAGCTTCAATTCACCTTTGCCGCTCACTATCTTTTAGCAGCTCCCCTTCCTCATAATCTTAGGCATAGACTAGATATAAAAACTATATTTCAAATAGCAATACTAGGTATCATAAAAAAAGTTTCATGAAAATAATCATAAAAGTTTTGTGATCCTTAAATTACACTTAGAATAAAACACCACACATTAATCAAGATTATCGAAGGATCATAAATCATTCATGATCATTTTTATGAAAAAAATTTCTTGATCCCTAACTTTTCTCTAATTCAAATAAGTAAATAAAAATTATTTATTGAGATGGGTCAGGGGCTGACAATGTACACATGACAAACCACATGTCGTGTACCTTATTATCATCAATTAACCAAATTTCAAACACTGCAAAATCCCAGTTTCTCACATGGCCATACTCTGCCCATACCCAACACCATGTGGACCCCTTTTCATTCACATGGGTATGAATAAGTCCACTTTCTTTCTCCTTCCCTCTCTCTCTCCTCTCTTCCAAGCCAACGTTCCTGATTTCCCTCCCACACCCTCCCAAAACAAACTTGACCGTCCCTCTGAGTCCTCAAGTCTTCCATATGGGCGGCTGAGCTTGTCCCTCTCTTGTCCCCCAAATGTAGGGTCACTTGCCTCAAACCTGCTGCTATTGCTACCGACAGCCTAGCTTTCCTTTATCCTAAATTCATGCATTTCATATCAATCACCCCACCCCCACCCTCCCTCTCTTTATATCATATCATATCTTATATATTCATATTCATAGACATCTCTATAAAATTACCCTTCTTTGTTACACAACTACCCCATTAACACAACCAACAATTCTCTTGACTTTCTACGAATCTTGCGCAGCCTCACCAGAAAAACAAAGAACAACTCGCACGAATCTTACCCACCTCTTTCTTCTACACATAACAACACTACACAACACAATTCTTGAAGAAAGGTTATATTGATTGATCAGTTTGTTTGGAAAGTTTTGTTAGATTTGTGAAAGTCTATATTGGTTTTGAGAGATGGAAAGCTCAGTGACGTTTGAGAGCGATCTTCATTTCAAGGCAACCGAGCTCAGGTTGGGCTTGCCAGGGACTGATGAGTCTGAGAAACAAAGTTTGACTAGTGTGAGAAACAACAAGCGAGCAACGCCTGACACAGCGGAGGATGGAGGATCAGAGGGTGGTGGATCCGATGACAAAAAAAGTGACTGTGAAAGTGCACCCGCTGCCAAGTAAGTTATCTTCAATGGTTTTAGTTGATTTAAGAACATAATATACATTATAAAAGTTGGGTTTGAGATTGAATAATGAGCAACTCATTTGATGATTTGTGTGATATGGCAGAGCTCAAGTGGTGGGGTGGCCGCCAATCCGATCCTACCGGAAGAACAGCTTCTCACCAAAGAAGACTGAGGCAGAGACCGGAATGTATGTGAAAGTAAGCATGGATGGAGCTCCATATCTCAGAAAGATTGATTTGAAGGTTTACAAGGGCTACCCAGAACTCTTAAAGGCTTTGGAGAACATGTTCAAACTCACCATAGGTAAGAAACTAAGAATATTGATTGTAATCTTTGTTTATTCTTACATACACATGTGATGTTGGGATGATAATGATTATCAATGATTCTAACCGTGATTAATTATTCAGGTGACTACTCAGAGAGGGAAGGCTACAAAGGATCAGAATATGAACCAACTTATGAAGACAAAGATGGTGACTGGATGCTGGTTGGAGATGTTCCATGGGAGTAAGTTCTCCCTCTCTCTCTCTCTCTATATATGCACACATATGGTACATACCTTTATACTCGTGCTGATTTTTGAATTCTTCTTGCAGTATGTTCACAACAACCTGCAAGAGATTGAGAATCATGAAAGGATCAGAAGCGAAAGGCTTAGGTTGTAGGGTATAATAAACCCACAACCTGCAGAAAACCCATAACAGTAATGGAAGATCAGAAGTTGTCTCTCATGAAGACCTAATTTTCAGCTTGGGTTCTCGAAGAATTTTGATTTTGAATACCCTCTTTGTGTCAACAGTTATCTCTAGACTTCGAGTGGGAAGTGCAAGCAGAAAACAGAAAGAAGTACATTAAAATTACAGTACTTTATAAAGTTGTAGCAGAAAATCTATGGTGGTTTGAGGTCGGTCTGTGTGTGATATTGTCTTGTTTGTAGTAGTTCCATAGAACCAAAACTGCATACAAAGAAATACTTGCTTTCCAGAGCAATTGTATAGAGATATATATATATATAACAATATGGTTCTCCAAGTTTTGGTTATGTATGGTGTGCACAACTTCGTTCTGCTGTCGTGCTTACTTCTATGGATTCCATCTCTTCATGTATTTCTGTAATTATTCTGCATCATATTTCCCAAAGGACTCATCTTCTACTCTCGTGACGTGCAAAAATACTTGATAGAATTTATTCCTATAGACTTTTACTGGATGACATGATGGAAAGATTAGAGTTATTCGGTTTAAAAAAAGAAGAAATAATTATTCGCTATGTTATATTGTGATTTTTGTATTTTAAGTCCTACTACTTGCATGTTCTAATCTAAGGGAAAGATCAAAGGCAAAGTTGATATACCATAGCTTATCTATCTTTCCCCGAATTCAGATATTAAGAGAGAATAGATCATAAGAAATAATTGTTCCATCAAACTACCCTTGCATTACACATTCCCTAAACACATCAATTCATCCTTTCATCATCAGAATCTTGCTGAAATTTTCTCCTTCATAAGAAGGTTGGTATTATTATTTTTTGATTTTTTTGGATCAAATCACGATAATCCCAAGTAAGAAAATGGGCCCTCGCATGCAAGGTTTGATGAACAATTATATGAAAATTTAATTAGTTCCTTCTCAAGGATCATGTAGAAATTGAAAACTAATAACAAGGCACAAGACCAAGGTTTTAAATTACGAATTAGTATAGCGGTATTGGGAGTATGATATCAAGAATTGGGGACATTGTTGTCAATTTTTTAAATTATCATCTGCGGAAAAGAGTTTTATAGTAGTTGAACTAACCACATCAATTATGAATTGGGTCATGAATCGGCTACAAATTGATACGTATCGTAAAGCAGCATCAATTATGAATTGGGTCATGAATCGGCTTCAATTATGAATTGGGTCATGAATCGGCTACAAATTGATACGTATCGTAAAGCAGCAGATGCGCAAGCAATTTGAAAGAGCTGATGCTTAAGCAATTTTCATTCCCACCAGTATGCGTGGGTGTATCGGTATGGGGACCAAAAAAATTGATACATATCAGCTGATACATTGTGTATGGGATTATAAATGATAAACTACAAATCGGCCGATTTGTGTGCATGGTCATATGCATTACTTCAAGGGGTTACATCGCTTACAGTCTAACCACAGAAGCCTTTAAATTCTTAAAATTCTGGAGATGTGGTTGCTATGAGAGTAGGTAATTAGGCAATGCTCTTGTCTTCCACATTGAGAAATTGGTTTTATATTAAACAATATAGAATTTAGCTAATAAAGATCCTAAGTTTTCCACCCTCAATCATGTTCTTCAGCATTGGTTATATGCTGGTGAAAGCTAAAACTCATGTTGCGATTTGTAAACCACAAAACTGCACATGCTGTTGCCTCTTTTCTTTTGGTGGGTTTGGGGGGAGAGAAAGAGAAAGATCTGTTGGGTATACCTCCTTATTGGAGTGTGGGACCCAATTGTTTTATTAAAAGAGTTTTAATTTGGCTTGGTTTAGTATAATATATTTTTATATATTATATTTAAGGAGACCCAATTCAAATTGGATACAATTAAAGTTTGATAAAACAAACTCAAGACCCAACCATATATATATATATATAGATATATTGGTTTTGTTGCTTTCTGCCGTAAGGGGTGTGTCTGCCTATTCATGTTTGTTGAGTTTGTGCTTGGTGCACTTGTGGATTGGCTATTCAAGCATAAGCTTGCTGTGTTGGGGAGCAGAAGTCTTTAGATCAAGTTCGTTGGTTATTTTTGTGTGTGATGTGACGCTGTTTTGATGCTGTTTTTGGATTGTTATTTTGGGTCTTCTTCAATTCTGGTTCAGAAGATTTTGGTTCATCTATTTGGTGAGGTTTTTCCTCTTTGTTTATTTATGATTATTTGGAATTCACCTAAGGGTGTTTTGTGAGACCATTAGTGTCTCGTTTGTAATCGTTTGGAATTATTTGGTTGATAGTGGAATCGGATTTCGATCCCGTGGACGTACCTCACATTGAGGGAACCACGTAAAAATTCTTGTGTTGCCTTTGATTTAATTTTTCCGCATTAATTTTTATTCCCATTGATTGATTTACTTGTGGGGAATCACATCGATTTTCCCTAACAACAAGATCATGGTCAACAGTCGGACTAAGCGAGTAATCACAGTGGGGTAGTCAAATTAATTGAGTACTTATGGTGGGATTGGATGTTAGGATGCAGTCACTATTAAACTTAGATAAAGACCCACAGAGCTACAATTCACTGAAATTTTATGGGGAATGAACATGTTGGTTAGGTAGGTTTCTCTCTCCTATGAGAGAGAGATAGAGAGAGAGAGAGAGTCTAATTGTGTAGCTCAATGTGTTAGGAAAATGATTTTCTGCAAGGAATATTGATTTGGCTGTGATATTGCCTTGAAAATTGCCTCAGGATTAGGCTACCCAAAATCTTCAACAAGGATAGTGTTAGCTAGCTGGTGGGCATGCGATGATGTCAAAGACCATTTTATTAAGAAAATCTTATCGAGCAACGTAATGATTTTTTGTGCTTTGTGAAGATTTTATTTTAACAAATATCATATTGCAAAGGCTCATCAGTTGGAAGCCCTGTGCTACAAAGCAAATCTATCTTATTAACTTTTCACTGTAAAGATGGAATCTATCAATGAATTAATGTTTATTGATGAGTAGTATTATAATATTTGTGTTTCCAACTTTCCTTTTTCCTGCATTTATCTTTTCTCAATAAAATTTTAATAATACATTTTTAGTTTAATTAGAAAAGGAAAAGGTTCAGTGAACTTTAATTTTTTAACTTAAGTCAGGATGTGAAGTTCACGAGGTAAAAAGACATCTGTTCTACAGTATGTCAAATAAATGGTTTGAAAATTCTAGCCCGTTCTACTTTGCTTTACCTTTAATGATCGAACTTTGCTTTTAATTTTGTCTGCCTTCTCAGTAACAAAATGGAGCATACAGGTACTTGAGAAATAAGATGGGAGACAAACAACAGGTTTATGAAAGATGACTCATTAAAACCGAGTGTGAACGCATTTTTCTCTTACCTGTTGTAATTGCAAGTCCTAATATACTAGTCTGGTTGTCAGCCTCCTCTCTTTTCTTTTGCTAGCTGGGCTCCTGCATACTTGATCAGCTGTGAAAAAAAAAAACAAACACCCAGTTCAGTACCCCATTTGATGGGGGTCTAGAAGGGATAAATTGTATATACACATGGTTATCAAATCTTGAATCAATTTGTGAATCGTTTTGTTAAAATGTATATCTATATAACTAATTGATCTCTTTTTTATTTATTGATAGAGGCTAAAAACGATGTCATTTCATGCATTATGTAAACAAAAACAAAAATAAAAACAAAATTAAATCACAGTGAATCATCGTGAATCGCAAATTACATCACACAATTCACTCAATTTTCTATGAATCGTTTTGGTTAAAACTTGTATCGAATCATGAATTATACGATTCTAACAACCGTGCACAACATTTGGCATAATTTACACGAAGTGGCTGCCCTTCGAACCCACAACATCAAGGTTAGTAAGCTGAGTTTTAGCCACTGAACCTACAGTTACAGGTACTAAATTATTAGGCTAGCGTAATCAGTGCAGTTTAAAGGATAAGGAAATATGACTGACATAATGCAACTAATAACAAAATCCAGAAAACAAGTCCAGTAACTAGCTGATGTAGCTTTAGCAAATCAGAAAATTGTGTTTCCTTAAAGCACTCCTAAAGCAAAGAGGTGTTCTTTAACCCTTCCTAACCAAATGTGATTAGCATTGAGTACTCTGTATTGGTAAGGAACTGTCGAATAAGCAATGTTGAAATTCAGCCAATGAAGCACTTGGCACCCAGATAACTATTTGTATGTTTTGTTTGGTGACTATAGTCCTTAGTTGGAAGTTTTGTTTGGACAGAAGCTCCAGATAGCTATTGAAAAAATACATGCTCAATACCAAAGACACTGTGCAAGTCAACAGAATGATTTTTCAATCAAAAGATCCAAAGTTGTCATTTTAACTAGAACAAATTATCAAATGGTTAAAATGTCATCAATATTTTATGCCATGAAGTGTTGGAGAAATTGAGAAACTTGTACAAGGAAGGAGGGTAGGCAAAACAAGGATGCTAAGGTAAATAAGGGACAACAAAAGGAAAGATAAATTAAAAAACCGATTAATTAGGAAATCATCTTGGTCTGGCACAGCCAACCCCAAATAATTGAGAGTTTAGGTTTTCTTGAGTTAAATTAAATAAACACTAAATAATAACAGAGTGCTAATTCAAACATAATGAACAGCTAATGAGATGATTGAAGCATCATTAGATCATCGCAGTGGTTGCTATGGCTAGACATACAATGCTTGAAAGAAACACATAATCTAAGCAGTATGATTACATCATTCTATCTGTTTCCTAGTTTTTCTGAAACATATCAACAATTTACACGTGTTTCATACCAGTTTCTAAGACTTTCTTTCTTTTTAATTATGTTTTATTATTATCTATTCTAATTTCACAATCTATGTCAAACACTAGTGATGAATATGATAATCCTAAAAAGTTTGACAATAATGCCATGTAACGATGAGAAAACACATTATTTTAAGGCAGCCACCGGAACATTCAACATGTGATTTTCTTGACATATGAGGGCTCAACATTTTCAAATGCTATATACATCAGAGAGCAATCAAGCTAACTTTTCACATTCATTCTCCTTAATTAATGGCTAAGGCAATGACTACAATTAGGAATTTATGACACTCATATCATATGGTGCTTTTGTGCTATTTTTCAACATTACAATAATTTACTACAAAGTCAAAGTTTCAACAGTTAAAAGGAAAAATAATGTTTGAAGAAATATTATTAAATTTGTAAAAATTAATTATAGACCTTACGTTTGTTTTTTGAAGTGCTTTTGCTCAAATTCTTGAAACTTGAAGAATGCCCATGAACACCTATAACAAAGAACAAGATTTTTACAAACTATGATGTTTGTGAACCTGATTATATAGTTCAAATCAGACTAAACAATGCCTCGTTATCCAAATTGACTTATCAGCATTGGAGATAATCTGGTTGACAAATTCTGCTACCATAAATGGGTATTGCATAGGTTGTCTCATACATTTCAAGCTTCTGATACATCTTCAACATCATTGCAAGAGGATGAGAAATGATGGCATGCAGTAGAGAGTCGCAAAAAATAATTCTTTTTGGCATCAATTACATATCCTGAAAGCTTCATATCTTCCCCGAGTAAATTTAATATCAAATATATGTTATCTGACTCAGAATGTGACACATCTCCCATGACAAATTCATGGACAACAGAGCCCAGCTCAAACCAACTAGAACCTCTATTCTTCCTCACCTGTTTCTCCCTGATCATTGCTCGCACTTTCGCAACATCATGCCATCGCCCAGAGGCAGCATAGATATTGGATAATAGAATATAATTACCAGAATTATCCGGCTCGGACTTGAATAGCTCAGCTGCTGCAGTTTCAGCCAGCTGAATATTGCAATTGACTGCACAAGCTGCAAGTAAAGCACCCCACATAACTGAAGTGGGTCCCATAGGCATACTGCCTATAAGGTCGTGTGCCTCCTCAAGGCAACCAGCACGGCCAAGAAGGCCAACCATGCAAGCGTAGTGTTTTTCTGATGGTCGAATACCAAATGCTTCAATCATTTGTTTAAAATACCACTTTCCTTCATGGACAAGGCCCCCATGATTACAAGCAGACAAGACACCAAGAAAAGCTACTCCATCGGGTCTAACCTTTGCCCTATGCATTTCATCGAACAAAGAAATTGCATCTTGACCCAATCCATGATTTGCGAATGCTGCTATCATGGTGCTGTAACAGAGCAAGTCTTTACGATTAGCTGTTTTGAACACTTGAAATGCCTTCTTAATGCTTCCACACTTTGCATACATATCTATCAAACTAGTGACAACCCGCAAATTAGAAAAAAGTGAGGGTCCTACATAGTTTTGAATAATAGATTCAGCTGCATCTAAAATCCCTAATTGTGAGCAAGCCGAGATGATTCCTAATATAAAAGTTTCATCTGGTTCTATGCCTTGCTTCTTGAAATGTTCAAACAATTCCAACGCAGAACGAGGCTGCCCATTTTTAGCATAGCCGCCAATCATTGTAGACCAAGTGACCAGATTCTTCTCGGGCATTTGATCAAATAAACTCCTAGCACTATCAATTTCTCTAGCTTTGATATAACCGTCAATCATTATGGCCCACGACGCAACATTTTTACTTGGCATTCTATTGAAGTATTCTTTTGCAGATTCTACTTCTCCAGCTTTGCAAAAGCCTGAAATCATCAGATTCCAAGTCCCAACATCACGGATTTTCATTGCTTCAAAAGCAAAGCGAGCTACATTGAGATCACCCACCTCCATATACCCAGAAATCATCACATTCCAAGAGGCCAAGTCTTTGAGAGGCATTGCCTCAAAAAGAGCATGTGCCTCGACCATATCACCAGCCTTAGCATATCCACAAATCATGCTCGTCCACGAAATCACATTCCTCTCAACCATGATGTCAAACAACTCACGAGCAGTATCAACTCTACCGTTATTCCCATATCCAGATATCATTGAATTCCAAGAAACAACATCTCTTTCATGCATCTCATTGAACACCCGTCTGGCAAAATCAACTTTCCCACACCTCATAAACAAATCAAGCAACGCATTTGGCACTATCAAATCATACCCAAATCCATATTTCAAAACAAACCCGAAAACTGCCTCCCCATCTTTTAATCTAGTTTGTCGAGCTAAAGCCTTGAGCACCGAACAAATAGTGAAATTCAAAGGTTCCACAGATTCACTTTGCATCCTGGAAAACAGCGTGAGAGCTTCTGTGTATTGAAAATTTTCAGCATACCCATGAATCACTGATGTCCAAAGAAAGGAATTTGGTTGGGGAATTTTATCGAACAGCTTGCGACCATACTCAGTGGCACCAAAACGCGAGTAGAGTCGGAGGATTTTGTTGAGAATAAAGTCGGAGGAGGCGATTGAGCCGTCGATTGTAAGACGGGCATGAATGGATTTTAAGAATCTGAGGGTTTGGCAGCTCTGTAGAAGATGAGAGAGAGTGTGATTCATTTCATGGCGCGAAGAAAGAGACGAACGATAGAGAACGAAAATAACCGAAAAAACTTGATTTCAAAATGTTGGATTGATTTGATTTGAAAAAAAATTGAAATTGAACTTTGGGCTCTCAAGTTTCAACAATGGGCTCAGTAGTGTGAAAGGATGGGGCTGATCACTTGAAATAAGAGCGAAGACCAAACAGCCCAATTCCAATAAAGCCACGTCACTGTCAATATAAGTCATTATATGTATTCCAAATTCGATCACAAAATCTAATATAACACTCTTACATGGAATGTGAGTCCCATGTAAGCAAAGCCGAGCCCAATTGAGTTTTCTGGTGTTCAAGCTCAAATACACCTTATGCAAGAGAGTTATAGTTGTTTCTATAATCAAATTATATACACTTATAACTTTTTTTTAATGACCTCAAAATTAATTTTATAAAAGTGCAACCAGACAATTATACATTTATTATCAAGTGTATTTAATGAAAAGGGCACTGCGAAAATAGGGGAGTGGGGGCAATGTGTGAAGCAAGAGTGGGGGAAGGGGTCATGGTAGTAGAGGACTGATGATGGTGGAAAAAGTGGCATTTGGTGGTGGAAGAGATTTTCTTTAGGCTATATTTGGTTGGGGATTTGGAATTTAGAGAGGGATTTGGAAATGAAAACGAAAAAATAGTATAAAATTAGATAAAATGTAAATATATTTTATTCATATTTCACCTAATTTTTTCCTTTTCTTTTCCAAATTTCTACTTAAATCCTCCAACCAAACACAACATTAATGATAATTTATATAAAAAATTTCAAAAATAAAAATATAAAAATGTCAAATGGTTAAAATGTGATTAGCATCAAGCTTAATATAAAAATAAAAAAATTAAATTTGGATCAACCTAATTTGAATAGGATTTGTGAAAAGAAATAATATTAAAACCAAATGAATCAATGGAATGCACCAATGAACCCTTGGCAACAAATATCGGTAAAATGGTTCTATGCTCTTCCCAACAAGAATAGGAAGGCCATAAATTTTTTTTCATGGACATGTAGCCTGGCATCAAATGAGTGTAAATTATCACCGGGATATCACAACATTATTCGAATAGGATATTAACCAACAAAGAAGTCGATTATCTCAAATAAACGGGCTAAAATATAATGGCAATGTCTACACAAAGAGAAACCTATATCAATGAAATAAAATAATCATTAAGAGAAACCTATATCAAAGCCTACACAAACTGTGATTATACATTGTTTCATATTTATGTTCACTGGAAAGTATACATTTCTAGATCACAGCAGTAAATTGGACACATGGAAAGATTTTAAATTCCTTCCCAGATGAAATTCTACACAACTGCCCATCCCCGAGTGTTCGAAGAGAAGGAACAGGGTGGATAGTTACAACTCTATTCATTCTAGTAACTATTGAGCTGTGGTCCAATGAAGTATTTTGATAAAAAACCAACCAATGTTTCAGCCGAGGAGCACTCCCTAATGTACATCTATAGAGCCCCCACTATACTTAATTTAAATCACAGTCCTAAAGGAAAATAAACGCTAAAATGCGTACCTCCACCTTGGAGGTAGCATGACAAAGAATCAAATTATTGGGCAGACCTATTTATTCTGTGTCTTTATCTGTCATGGAGTTCAGTGCTCAAAGGTGATGGATTGCTTGAACCTCTGATCACAAATCCCAAATGGCTCGAGCTTGAGAACCTGATTGGTTCAGGGCTTATTGTTAAAGCCCAAAACCTTCTCAACACTACAGACCCTGCCATCATCATTTGATATGGACTGACTTCGTTTAATGCCAGCCATTTATCTTCTTTCAATAGTCTGATCAACAGTCCAAGCATGCTTCAATTTAGAGGTGGGTGAGTCTCCAGACCTTCCTTACTTGATTCCTCAGCATTGTCATGATCATTTTGGACATCTGCAGGTGAATACTCGGGTGGGGGGCTAGCAACAGCCACCACGGGATGATTTTGAACTGAAATCTCTCTTTCATTTGAAGATTCGTCCTTAAAAGTTGGTGAAGCCACATATGATATGCCAAACTTTTGTCCATGACTTAATCCAGGGCAGACTCCCTGTGGCACAAAATGCTCAGCAACAAAGAAAATAAAAATGTAAAATAAAATAAATATATATATTTTTTAGAGATGCTAAACAAGATAGGATTGTCTACTCGTTTATGTCCCTGAATTTCGTTGTAAGTGGTGAAGAGAAAAAAATCAAATGTTCTTGAGAAAGCTTAATTCATGTTTTGTTTCATGTTGTGTGGTTTTCCAAAATTTTGAAAACATGAACCAAAAACATGTTTGGTGCATTTTTTTATTTTTTTTTATTTTTGAATACTATTTTCAAAACAACCCCTAAATATTTGTATTTGAGATAAATAGAATGCACAATGAAAATCTCACTCAACAATCTTAAGAGGAATTTACAGTGGCTGCAATTTTTTTGGTAAATATTGCTTGCCAAACTTCTAGTATAGAATACATTCAAGAGGAAAAGCATCCAAGGGAAGTTAAAATGGATCGATCAGAATTCCTTAATTTTCATTTTCAAAGTTCTGTTCTTTATTCTTTGTTGTTGATCCAAAAAAAAAGTTTTCTTCTTTATTTTAGAAAGCACATGGATCTTACACACTTGAAGAATCAGTAATACTTGTATTTAACAAATTTGAGTTATTTGACAACACTTAACAATCTTTGGCTCACAACAACACTGATTTTTTTTATTTTTTTATTTTACACTCATCGTTTTATATGAATGACTAAATAAATCAAAATATGTTTAATTCATCAATTATTAGGCTTTGATACCCCATTAGATAGATTTGAATTTATGTTTCCAAACATTTCTATATATTTTCAAATTCTTTTTTGCTTCAGAAACATTTCTGTTTCCATACTAACTGAAACAACACACCGAAATGAAATTTTGATACTAGATTGATTCCAAACTCAAGATACTCTATTCCCACCTTAATCAAACCTGAGGCAAAAGTGGACTTCTGAGAAGTTGAGTCTGATGCAAAACTGGTGAAAACTGAACTACACAATCTACTACCATTATTTTCCTGAGAATTCATTGAGATGTCGGAGGCATAGGATTCTTGTCTTAAGTGGCTGCCTCTACAGTATGCTCCAAAATAAGTACAATGTTCACGTACTAAAGATATTTGTGGTGTTGCAGGCAATAAGTGCCCTTCAGTACTGAAGATGTACCTGTAAATGGAAAATTTTCGAAGTAGACAGTAGAATGAGGAAAAGTTACTGAATTCTTTTTGAGTAGATATATCAACTTGAATTTTAATTGCTATGACAATTCTACTAGTTTTGGAAATGGGAAAGATCAGAGGATACACATCACTTACTTGTATGGCCCATTCTCAAGAAGGTTATCTGAACCAGCAGCCAAATCAAAAAGAAGCCACAAATATTTGACCTAAACACATCCATACATTATTAATTAAGTGTAATATATATATAGAAAGAAAAACTGAAAATAAAAGGGGAAGAAAAAGAATGACATAAGAATGTAATACATCAGAAATCAAGCAAAAAGAATTCAACACACGTAAGATACCATCACACTATCATTTAGTTATTGTTGGCAAAACCTTAGTTGCCCAGGATCCATTTGATTACCTTGTAGCCCTTGGGTAACTGAGTAGGATTCAGAGAAATGTTCCCCATCCATTGCTATACCATAGGGTAGATGAAAGTATATTATGAATTACCAAGAAAGAAAATTTTCTGACAGAAGACAGTTAAGCCTCAACTATGCAGTCCTGTTTGGCCTCCCTCATCACTTCTAAGGCAACAACCTTTCTAAAGCTTCTTCAATAGACTAGTTTCACATGCAGAAATCAATTCAAACTAATTATTACAACCTTGTCATATATATCTACTCGTAAATAGTTACAGGAATCATATCTTCCAGTAATTATCATGTGGAATATAATAATTTGATGGTCTAGAACATCTAATAAGCCAAGGAGGCAACCCAAGTAAGACGCTGCGAGTAGCAGTCTTAAGTTTCAACTTCCCATCCTCCAGCTGCTAAACCACCCATATAGAGAGAATGAATCTTGATGTCTGTGTGCAATGGTCTAGGTTGATGTTGACAGGCGCATTCTGGGAATCATGGTAGGCACTAAGACAGACCGAGACCACCAGATGTGAAGAGGCGAGAGCGAACATAGCCTAAGAGAGACAGAGGAGAGGGTGCCAGTGAAGGATGAGCCTCTGAGAGGGGGTGAGCTAGGAAGCTTCGATGATCCCTCAACTCCAACCACCAATCCACAAGTCCTTGGTGATCCCTCGTGGGGCCATAGGTCGCTTGAGTGTCCCAAGACCAAGGCACTGACCCGGGGAGGGCCCTAGGCCCTAGTCCCGACCTAGGCAAGCAATGTAGCCCAGGGTGCCATTCCTCAGGAAAGGTGAGGTGAGGTGAGGCAAGGCTAGGTGTGGTTCCTGAGGGAGGAGAGGCCATGAGGCTAGGAGAGGCACCTGAGGGAGGAGAGGCCCTGAGGCTAAGTGAGGAGCCTGAGGAGAAGCAAGGCCCTGAGGGTCCCGGGGGGGTGGTGTGGTGTGGTGGTTCATGCCTTGTAAATGTCAAGTTAACCCCCCTTGTGGGTGATGGCATTGCAAGTCACGTGAGACCCAAATACCTACAATGTCCAACTTTTGACAATTGGAATTGTCTTATATGTCATTTTTTGGATAAGGGATTAAAAAAGTCAAATTGATGGAGCACATATAATTTTATCTAAAATTTAAAATTGATCCTTACTGTCTCCGCTAGGAAAAAGCTCTCCATATGATCTTCCTGTTTGTGAAACTCTACATCTGAAATATGACAATATCCACATGCGCATCGCGCTCCATATTGCAAGCTGGCAACCATTTCCCTTCCAGCATCCAGATATCTGTACAGAAAGTGTTAGACAACTAGACAAGAATAGATTTCAAAGTTTGAATCAATAAAGTGAAAGTTGAACTAAGAGTTAAAGAAGAAAGTCTAATTGACTAGGGGGGACAACTTCTGCATACCAAAACCAAACAACAAATGTCTTTCAGATAATACTTTACTGCCAGAATTTTTATTTCCCTGACATCCCCAATTTGTTTTTTAGCAATTTGAAGAAGATGAGGTCAATGGAGAAACAAGGCATCAGGCATCTAGCACTCTACACGTGTCTTTGCAGTATTAACAGTAACTTCAAGAACGACTTCATGGAATAGCTTAATGATAGTCAAAAAGATATTATTAACCTCATCTTTGTGACACTGTATCCAATGTCTCGCATGAGGAGAACATACCTTTTTCTTCTTTTTCCTTTTTTCGTTTCCTCTTGGACAATGGAGATTGAATGATACATTAAAAAATCATGGCCAAAAAAGCGGGAGGGGGGAAAAGAAACAACTTAAATGATATGTTAAACTTCTAAAAGGAGTCGGTGCCTTACTATCCAAGAAATTTTTTGAATGAAATTGACCTTGCCAAAACTGTTGTTGCTAATTTAAATACAAGTATTTTAAAATAAAAGTTGCACAATTGGAGGAGAAGAAGCACATAACCAACCTGGGATCCCTGGTAGCTTTGTAGAGCCAATATGTGCTCTCTATTAGTTCTGGACGCAAGGGGTAGCTCTTTTGACCATGCTGAACATAAATGTCGCTTTACAAGTTAAAATACTCCTTGGCATATAATGTTGTAACAAAATTATATAAAATATTATATTGTGAAATAATACCATTGACCACCATTTTCAAACACAAAAAGAACCAGAAAGTAAAACAACAAAAAGAAAAGAAACTGGGGAAGATACAAACAGTAATGGACTTTGGGACACTGTATAGAACCAAATATAGATAACATAATTTACAAATCAAGAATCCTATCATGTCAATTTTTTGTAATCCCCCTCTCAAGGTGAGTCATGTCAAATACAATGAACTCTTTAGAAGTGATTTTCAAGATGACGGTGTTGCCTTCGAGTTTATAAAATAGTGTTTCCCTTTAGAAGTTAATACTTTTATAAGCATATTCTTGCTTGGCCATGAGGAGTGGGTTCTGTTCATCATCAACGGTGCCACGTTATTACACATGTATATAGATTGTATATTTATTTGAAGTCACTTGTGTCTAACCACTTAGTTTGATGCATTAATCAAGCCACTAGCACCCGGTAATGTGTATTTAGCTCAACTCACTTGTGTCTACCACTTAGTTGCATTTATCAAGCCACTAGCACCTTTAGACAAACCCAAATCATATAATAGTTTCCTTCCCAAAAGAGGATTTCGATCACCCTAACTTGATTGATCATAGGTGCCAACTAAAGAAAGAAATAAGCTTCTCTCCTTGCACCTTCAAGTGGTAAGGCTCAAATATTAGTTTCTCCCTTAACATAAAGGGCCCCTAACAATCATGAATCTGATAAGCAGATTTCCCTTACTGCAAATCCAAAGACACTACGGTTATCTAAAATGGCACAAGCCCATTCAAAAGAGGTTCATTTGCCTTCATATAAATGACATTTTTTTTTATTTTTTGGTCCAATTGTTGATGGGCCACACATTTGTGGGTTCGATCCCAGAAACCTGATACCGAGACTTTACAAGATAAGCTAAATATGCAGGAATTCAGAAAACAGTAATTAAGATACCTGAACACTGAATGTGGCAAGATTAAAACCCTCTGGAGTGAAACCATATTTTTTCCAAACACTAAAGAAAGCAGCATGTGTTCGAATTGCAGGATCGATGTCCCCAGCTAAAACCTTCCAAAATTGATGATCAGTTCTGCTAATTCCCTAATCAATAAAATTCTGATTCCAAGCAATCAACTAAAGATATGTACGTATATATATGGATTACCTGAAGGCCGGGCCAGAATGCCTGCAAACTGTTAAATAATGGCCAGACAAGGGCAGCAGAGTTCATATTTACCTCCACATACCTATTAAAATTTGAGAAGTTAGCATTTCTTCTGTGATATGGTTCAAATTTCAAAATTAAAGTCCTGAACAAGAAACTGAAAGGAAATAAAACTAAAACACGGGAAAGGAATGCATAACTAGAATGGTACATAATGGCCAAATTTTTTTACCAAGGATCAGTATAAAGATAGCGCATAGCTGCCTCATAAGCTTCTTGAAAAATGAACAGATACTCTTCATCTCCAAATAATAAGTAAGCCTGAAGTGAAATCATAAATAATCAAAACACAAAAACAAAAGGAAGAGGAAAGAGGGTGGTTCGAGTTTTATTGATCGAAAATGGTTGGAGTTCCTCGAGGACCACTTGATACATGTGTACTTATTATATTGCTGATACAATGAGAACACAACACAATGAAAATTTAGGGTTTTAATTGTGAGAATATTATGTTAATTATGGAAATATATCAATTAGGTTGATTGTGTATTTTAGATTGATTGTGAATATTAGATTGATTGTATTTCCTATTTCAGATTAGGGTTAGGATTGCTATATATATTGGTTGTAATCTTTGTATTACCACAATTGAATATACAGTTTAATTCAGAAAATTTACATATCAGAGCCGTCTCGGAGCCGAAACCCTAGAAATTGTCTCCACATCGTATTCCTCATCAGAATCCCTCTGAGTCGCAAGTCGTCCTTTGTCTGGTCATCTGGTTCATATCTCTGGTTTGTAACCCAGAGAAACCCTCATCAAAGACCCTCTTCGCAACTCAGCTGAGTCGAGAGGACTCTGGTCGTCTGTCTCTGCCTCTCTCGTGCCTTACGCGAAGGTCTGCTCCCTCTCTCTCTCATCTCGCTAATGATAGCCGATCTCCTCTTCTCGAACGAGGTTCATCTCTGGTGGTCTTGGGTAACCCATCTGGTCGACCTATCTGTTTGACGTGATCACTGTGCTTCGATCGCTGATCTTCTCTCTCTCTGGTTCTTCTTCAGTTTCTCTTAGTTCGTGACTTGAATCTCTGGTTCACTGAGTTCACTCTATTTTGGTTATATTTTGGGTTTATTACACTTAAACCCCTCAATTGTCTATTTATCACCCTTTGACCCTTGGTTTGACTATTTTGCTCTATTTTGGATTTATTACACATGAACCCCTAATCTCTTCAATTATTACGATGTCTCCAACTTTTGATGAGTGTGCCTTCTGCCATCAGAGAGGCCATTAGAAGTACCACTGTCCCAAGAAGGGACGTACTGTCCCAAGAAGGGACGTCTGCTTGCCTCATCTTTTTAGCAATCTCAGAACCGATTACAGGCTCCTCCTGCTGCGTATACTGCATTTGCTCCGGCTCCTAATCCTGACTTGGCTTCTTTGAGTGCTCAGATTAGTCAGTTTCAACATATATTGTCTACCTCCTAGCCATCCCCGTCTGCCTTCATTGTTTCCTCTTTTCATTCAGGTTTGCTTGGGTCTTCTTCAGGTATTTCTTCGTCTATCTAGATTTTTGACTCTGGTGTCTCTTATCATATGACTCTCCATCTCTCTTTACTTCAATATTGTACTCCTCCCCCCTTTCCTATTGCTGTCAATGCTGCTAATGGGTCTAGTATGTCTATTGCTTTTGTTGGATCTGTCCTACCATCTTTATGTTCCTTAATTATCTGTCAGTTTATTATCTATCAGTCAGCTTGATATCTTTGGTTTTGATGTTATCTTTTCTTCTTCTATTTATTCTATACAGGATCGGATGTCTAAGCAACAGATCGGGACCGGTCGTAGAGTTGGAGACCTCTATGTGGTGGAGAGCTTGCATCTGCCTATGGCAACCTCTCTGACTGCCCTTTCCTCTTTTCAGTTAGATTCTCTGTCTAGTCTTTTCTGCTTGTAGCATTTTAGATTAGGGCATTTGTCTGCCGATCGCTTATGGTCTTTAGCTCAGTCTAGTATATTGGGTAAAGTTTTTCCTAGTGAACTTACTGAATGTCGGGGGTGTAAACTTGCCAAAATGACAGTCTTACCTTTTCATAAAAGTACTTCTATATCTGATACATCATGTTCTTTAGTTCATACTGATATTTATGGCCCTTCTCTTATTCTCACCAAAGGGGGTTCTGCCTATTATGTGTCATTTGTTGATGACTGCACTCGTTACACTTGGGTTTATCTTATAACTCATAAGTTTGACTTCTACCAGATATATCGTACTTTCCAGTCTATGGCCACTACACAGTTTGGTTCTACTATTAAATTTTTGTGGTCTGACTTGGGCGGGAAATACTTTAAAACTGAATTCTATAAATATTTGGCCAAATTGGGTACCATTTACCAAACTTCTTGTACTGATACACCTGCCCAAAATGGTCGAGCTGTGCGTAAACACCGTCATCTCCTTGAGACAGCTAGGTCTCTCCTTTCTGTCTCTGTTCTGGCTCCATTTTGGAGTGAGGCAGTTCTTACTACTACTTTTCTTCTCAACCATATGCCTGCCCCCCTTATTTCTGGTCGGTCTCCTTATGAGGCTCTGTTTTCTCAACTGCCCAATTACCCCATCCTTCGTGTGTTTGAGTCTGCTTGTTTTGTCCTTTTACCCCGTAAAGATAGGACCAAACTTAGTGCCCAGTCAGTCTTATGTGTCTTTTTGAGTTATAGTCTCACTCAGAAAGGTTTTCGCTGTTATGACCCTGTTTCCCATCGCCTTTATGTCTCCCGTCATGCTGTTTTTCTCGAACGTCTACCTTACTTTCAGCTTCCTCCTCTCACCGCCCCAGTTTCCAAAGAGGATTTGGTTCATATTGACCCGTTTCCTTCTAAGGTCCTGTCTGATGAGTACATCTCCACGATTCTCCCTGAGCTTGTTTCATCTTCTCCTCTGCTTCTCCTTCGGTTTCTTCTCCTTCGGTTTCTTCTCCTCTTCCGTTGTTAGTACATTCTCGTCACAAGGCTCTCCCTCCACCGGTTGTCTCTACCCCTACTGCTGCTCCTCCTGCTTCAAACGACTCTGATCCTGTTGCACACTGATATTTTACTTGAATGTGTCATCTTCCAAACAGGTAAGGTTGGTTTAATACATGTTTTTCTGTTTCCTATCGTACTTTTTTGTTTACTATTCACTCTTTTTCAAAACCTCAGCTTACAAAGAGGCCTGTTAGGATCCTCATTGGGTTCAAACTATGGAGGATGAGATATCTGCTTTACAGAAAACTAGTTTTTGAAAGTTGGTTCCTTTGCCTGCTGGTAAGAATTTGGTTGGTTGCAAATAGGTCTACAAAGTCAAGACTCATTCTGATGGTTCTTTTGAGCACTACAAAACTCGTCTAGTTGCCAAAGGTTTCTCATAGGAGTATGGTATTGATTATGAGGAGACCTTTGCTCTTGTTGCCAAGATAACTACTGTATGTACTTTGATCTCTGTCGCTGCTGTTCTTTCTTGGCTTCTTTATCAGATGGATGTTAAGAATGCTTTTCTTAATGGCCATCTCACTGAGGAGGTTTACATGCGTCCTCCCCTTGGCATTCACCATTCCTCTGGACAGATTTGTCGCCTTTGGCGTGCTCTGTATGGTCTGAAGCAGTCTCCTCGTGCTTGGTATGATCGCTTTCAGACTGCTGTTATTGAGCTTGGGTTTCATCCTTGTCCACACCTCAGCTGGATTTGTTGCATTATTACTGTATGTGGATGATATGATCATCACTGGTACTGGTTCTGACTCTTCTATTATATCTGAAGTCAAGCAGCATCTTTTCCGCACCTTTGAAATGAACGATCTGGGCCCATTGCGATATTTTCTTGATATTGAGGTAGCTTCTTCTCCCAAGGGCTACTTTCTATCTCAAGCCAAGTATGTCAATGAGGTTATTCATCATGTCGGCCTTACTACCACTAAGATTTTTGATACCTCCATTGAGCTTAATGTAAAGCTCAACACTACTGATGGTGTTCTTCTGGATAGTCCTACTTTATATCGCGAGCTCGTAGGTTACTCATCCTGATCTTGCCTATGCTATTCATGTGATTAGCCAGTTTGTCTCTGCTCCTCATTCTCCTCATTGGGCTGCTTTGGTTCGAATTCTTCGCTATCTCCGGGGTACTATACTATTGTCTTCTACTTCAGGCTTATGCTGATTTTGATTGGGCTGGTAATGTTACTGATCGCAAGTTTACTTCCGGCTTATGCATGTTTCTTGGTGATTCCTTGATCTCTTGGAAGGCAAAGAAACAGACTGTTGTTGCGCGTTCTATTGCCAAGACTGAGTACCATGCTATGGCTCATGCCACTGCTGAGCTTGTTTGGCTTCATTGTCTCTTGACTGAGTTAGGTGTCCCTCAATCTTCTCCGACCTCCCTTTACTGTGACAACCGTAATGCTATTCAGATTGCACATAAGACTGTCTTTCATGAGCAAACGAAACATATTGAGATTGATTGTAATTTTGTACATCAGCATCTGCAATCTGACTCTATCTCGCTTTATCTCTTCGGCATTGCAACTTGCTGATTTCTTTACAAAGACTCACACCACTGCTCGCTTTCAATTTCTTCTTGGCAAACTCTCATTGTTTTCTGCTCAAACACCTTCAGTTTGAGCGGGGGTATGAAAATATTATGTTAATTATGAAAATATATCAATTAGGTTGATTATGTATTTTACATTGATTGTGAATATTAGATTGATTGTATTTCCTATTTCAGATTAGGGTTAGGATTGCTATATATATTGGTTGTAATCTTTGTATTAGCACAATTAAATATACAGTTTCATTCAGAAAACTTACATTAATATCATGAGATTTGATAGGTCAGAATGCAGTAATACCCATCCACAGCAAGCAATAAAGCTATCAAATATATAAACCACTTCGGAGCAGCTGTTGGTGTCTGTGTGAGTGTGACCCCTATAGCTAGGGCGTGCTTGTTTGTTTATTTGTTGCCCAGTATCTATATGGTCTTTGGGTGTGTTTGTCAACTTGTTTAGTCTCTCAAGTTGCGAGAGGATTTTTTAGGCCAGAGAGAGAGAGAGAAGGGTAGAAAAAGAAATGGATGTGAATTTATATTTTAGAAAAAAAGGGCTGTTATATATCATTGAAACTCTTCACCTTTTGAGGCATACAATTTTAAAAATGATGGGTCCTACACATACACATGATAAATAGCATTTCTCAAAAAATAATTTTGCATGTGCTGGTGAAATTAAAATTTTGTAACTACTATGCCAAAAGGTGTCAATATGAAAGTTATTGATCTTGTAACTGTCCTAGAAAGTATATACTTTGTTTTCTATATGGTAACCATAGATTATATATTAATGTGACATCTCATATAACTCTAGTATTTCAACTTATAACAACTAACCTTCAGGAGATATTCGTAGAAAGAGTCGATACTGGTACCTATCCCAGCATCCTGCAAAGCAACATAGAAATATAACTTGAAATAACCACATATAAACAAAACTACAGCTTCAATACCATTAACATGATTGATGAATAGATCACTGGAGAAACAAAGATCAACAGAGAAACATCAGGATTCAGTAAATTAAAAAAAAAATAAGCATGTAAAAGTTCCATGGCTATAATCAGCACCCAGGCAAGGATGTGGCATGTGGGGCACAAAAAATTGTGAAGTTATTTCATTTATAAAAATAAAAAATAATAATAATAACATACAAAAGACAGGACTAGGTAAATGGCAGTATGGTGTTATCTTTGAAAAAATGACTATAACAGCCAATGGGTAAAATAACAGAATTTCAGAGAAATATCGGGCATGTGACAATTCCCTAAAGTTTTAAATGTAAACTTAAATCATCATTCTAGAGGGAATTTTACATTACAATTCACAAGCCAAAATCACAGCAGGTCAAATGTGGAACCACTAAAACTTGAAAAATAACTAGAAAGGAAAGAGGTACTTTTACAACTCCAAATTCATGAATACACGTGCAACAGTGCTTTTTTTTTAAAATCCCATAATCTCATAATCGCTAAAGAAACAAAATGACAAAAACATTATTGAGGTAAAAAGTTTAATGCCACTTTAATGAACAAATTTAGACTCATTTTTTACATAGAATTTTAAAATGAGATCATTTAATGTTAATGTTGTAATTTTCATTACTCATCTATTAACAATTCTTCAACATGGGATTATAAACCAAGCATACTTGAATCTTAGGTCTACAAGCAAGGTAAATAGGTCCATTACCGGCTGGCTCTAGACCGAAAAGACCTAATGGAGTAATCCCTTATTATCTCAGATTGAAAATGCTAATATAAATATGCACATTGCATCCCCCTTGATGGGGTAAAAGAAATGTTACCTTTTGCGTCCATTCACCTGTAAAAACATCAATATGAGCACCAACTAGATTAATCTTTGAACGGCGTGCCCATAATCCACGCACCGCATTCTTTGTAACTTGCTCATAAACTGTATTTCAAAGAAGATGCAATATGTTCACAGACGAGAGTCAACAATGCATACAAAGATTACAACACCTCAACCCCCACCCCTGCAGTCCAGAGGACATGCATACAAACAAAAAGAGAGTGAAAAATAACATATTTTTAAATAAGTATTGTATTATTGAATCAACAAGGGGGTTGCAACTTGTACACAAAATATGGACAATTGACCTATATCAACTCTAGAATATTTTTATTTTTATTTAAAAAACTTACTCAAAAGTCTCAACAAATTCAAATTGATTCAAGTGACCAATGGTGCTTGGGAACCAACTATGCAATAGAGAGAAAATTCTACTTTTTTCACTCTAAAAATAGGCTCTTCCTTCCCATAAATAATCCTCCTATTGCATTCTCCCACCAAATGATTAATATCAAAGACAAAGGCACCAATACAAGTAAATTCATATAATGAAAGGAGCACATAAGGCCACCACATCATACTGTATAAAATTTTTGTACAAAAGATATGTTTGTATAGCATTACCCAAAAAATGTCATTGCTCAGTGGAGTAAGTAGTAATTATTACCCGAATCATTTGTTAAGCGGCTGAGCACCCCAAATTCTAATGTCAAGGTCCCACCACCAGCTGTTGACGTAATCTAAAGACAGCAAAAATTGTGACTTCAGAATTTACATGTCATGATGTACATAAAAATGGAAACAAAAGTAAATATCATTTTTGAAACAAATTAAAGATAAGAATTATCAGGGCCAAAGCTCTCATCTCCACTTCTGGATTCTTCACAAACTATTCAACTTATATAGACTTGGGAACATGTGTGGGTGTTGGATATATGTACCCCTCAAATTTAAGAACCACTAATAAGATTGAATTGTAAAAAATTCCAATACATCTTATTCTCCTATACTCAATGTAAGAAGATGTGTTTATGTAACGTGAAATCTGCAATAAAAATACTTGACTATTTCTCAAATATCATTGTATAATGTGTATACATATGTATCTAAAAACTGAGATCCTACCTTGTCTAGCATCTAGAAAACTAGGATATGTTACTCCTTTCAACCGGAAGGCACATCATTTAAATGTTGAATAACTAGGACCCTGTTGAGTTGAGAATCAGAGGGACACTTCACTTATTTTTAGAAGTGTCCAATAAGTATGCAGTGACTAACTAGGGAAGTTTTTTAGAAATCTAGGGTCAACAAGGAGCACAATGCACAACAAAGTAGATTATAGTTTATCTTACAAGGTGAGGTAGAGGATCAAAGGATGAATTGGAAACCATAGTATGAATTACACAAAAGGTTGATTAATGTGTTTATGAATTGTAACATTTTAAAATAAACCAACTTGAACATAAATAGGCAAGAAAGTACAAAGAGGCTTTGCCTTGCTTTCATTTTCATCAACTCCATGCAATAGATTGACAGATCCAAATGGAATTCCTGCACCAAATGTACCACATATAACTTAGGTTATAATAATGACAGATCGAATTTAATGGACAACATTTAAGCTAAGGGTGAATGAAATATGTAATTGATAAAAGAAACAATAATCAGCTGTCCAAATTATGCCTTAGCAATCAAAACATGAGACCACGTTCCTTTTCTTTTCTTTTCTTTTTTTAACAAGTAAAACCTGAGACAATAACTTGGAAGCAAGAACACAAAAAATTGAAGCTTTGCGTAGCAAGAAAACGCTTTCATGAAGATCAAGCTTCACAAGCAACTTACAAATCGTCTTCACCACCCATAACTATAAACCTCTTGAACAACTTAGTTTGCAAGAATACCAAACTATAAAAATTGCAATCCATAGCCAACTCCCCTCATAAATTTAGGTCTTCCTACAATACAGTCTGTAGAGACACATTGGTTCAACGAAAGACACTATCTAAAATCTCAAATACATACATACATGTAGTTATGTATGTATCATTGCAAAGAACAGCAAACTATAAAGCACCGACACTTCAAAACAAGTGTCGTATCCGTGTCGGACATACGGACACTTCGGGGACACTTATGGGGCACACCACTTGTTTAATTAATTTTATTTCAGGGGACACGCCGGGGACACACTAAGGACATGCCAAATTGTCATTTCCCCCATTTTATTTAGTACTTTTGATGAATGTTGAATGTTTATTATTTTTTTCTTAGATATAAATACTTAATAGATCATCCATAAAATAAAAAACCAAAAAAAAAAAAAGATATAAACTGCAAGTATTAATTTAAAAATATTTTTTTAAAAATTAAATAAAATTAGAGTTAGTTTTTGTTAATATTGATTGTTTGTGGATGTAATATTAACCTAGATAGTAAATAAAAATATATTTTATTGTCGTGTCCCCCCCCTCCCATGTCCGTATCCCTATTTTTTTGAAATCACCGTGTCCTATGTCTGCATCCATGTCCATGTCCGCATCCATGTCCATGTCCGCATAGGGGTGCAACTTGGGCGGGCTCAGACCTAGCAACTCAAGCCCAGCTCGAATTTTTTTAGGGTTTGGACAAAATATTTTCAAATTTGGTATGAGCTTGGGCAAAAATTCAGAAGCCCAAATTAAATCTGGACAGGCTTGAACAAAGACGTCAAACAATCCGAACAACCCGAAGCCCGAATTATACATATATGGATATAAAAATATTAAATATACATATAAATTGTTAACCATTACATAATATTAAAGTAATTTAGATTATTAAATCCTATTGAATATATATTATACATACAAATAACATAAAATTTTTTTTTTTATTTTCACTCATAAATTGTGAGAACTACTATAGCAACATCTCTCTTACATTATATAAATTATTTTTTTTTTTATGGTTTTAATGATTTTCTATATAAAAAAGAAATGTAAATAGAGTGAAATTTTAATAATTTAATAATGTAGCTGCCTAACAAAAAAAAAAAAAAAAACTGAAATTCATTTACAATTCGGGCAATTTGGGTTTAACTCCGGTTGGGCTTGGGCAGACAACCTAGGGTTACAATTCGGACTTGAGCGGGCTTGGACAAGTCTCAGCACAACTTGGACTGGGCTTGGACAACCTCCCAACCCGACCAAACCCGCCAGAGTTGCACCCCTATGTCCGCATCCGCATCCGCATCCGTGTCCATGCTTCTTTGATAGCAAATAATTGATACAATTAATCAATAGAAAGTCGTGAGTTAAAAACATATAGATAACATTCCCAAGAAAAATCAACTTTTTAAAACCATGGTTATCAGAATCCTGATCCGGATCTTACAATCCTACGATCTTACGATCTATTTGAGTACAATCGATCCGGATCGTATAAAAAACTCCTTATAGGTAGGATCTTTCGATCCTAGTAGTGGGATCTTATAGGATCGTGGAATCCCGATCCGAATCCGATCCTATCCGATTCAATTTACAAGCCTTATTTTGTATTATATGACATATTTTGTTGTAAATTTTATGTTTGTTGTCTAAATACTAATTTATGCTGTCAAAATAAATAATAAAAATTAAGTAGTATTGAATCAAATAGACTAAGAAAAATAAATTAAGAAACAAACATTCAAATATTGCGGTAATTTAAGAAAATTAAATAGTCAAAAAAACAAACTTAGCTTTAGCGGAGTCTAAGAAGGGTAAGATGATTGCAACTTTATCCCAATTTCTGGAGAAATTATTTTTGTGACTCGAATCCGCTCCACCAGGGATGTAAATGACAATTCTTATCATTCGACTAAGCTACTCTTTTGAGTTCTTAATCTATTTTCATATCCAATTTTGTTAAATATTTTTTCTCCACTTTTTATGCATTATTGTACATTGTAAAGTATTTTGTTATAGAATTCTTCTTCTTCTTCACCTTCTTTTTTGCTAAAATACAAAACTTTTACCATCGAGTTTTCTATTACATAATATTATATGCACATTTTACATGGAATATTATATTTTTCACAATATATTTACTTCTTTTTAATAGAATATAGGTTCATTTTGTGTATACTTTATAAGAAATATTTATTTAAATTAAATTATTATATAATTTGTCTTTTTCGATAGGATCTTACGATCCTCGATCCGATTTGTACATAAAAATGGAAACAAAAGTAAATATCATTTTTGAAACAAATTAAAGATAAGAATTATCAGGGCCAAAGCTCTCATCTCCACTTCTGGATTCTTCACAAACTATTCAACTTATATAGACTTGGGAACATGTGTGGGTGTTGGATATATGTACCCCTCAAATTTAAGAACCACTAATAAGATTGAATTGTAAAAAATTCCAATACATCTTATTCTCCTATACTCAATGTAAGAAGATGTGTTTATGTAACGTGAAATCTGCAATAAAAATACTTGACTATTTCTCAAATATCATTGTATAATGTGTATACATATGTATCTAAAAACTGAGATCCTACCTTGTCTAGCATCTAGAAAACTAGGATATGTTACTCCTTTCAACCGGAAGGCACATCATTTAAATGTTGAATAACTAGGACCCTGTTGAGTTGAGAATCAGAGGGACACTTCACTTATTTTTAGAAGTGTCCAATAAGTACGCAGTGACTAACTAGGGAAGTTTTTTAGAAATCTAGGGTCAACAAGGAGCACAATGCACAACAAAGTAGATTATAGTTTATCTTACAAGGTGAGGTAGAGGATCAAAGGATGAATTGGAAACCATAGTATGAATTACACAAAAGGTTGATTAATGTGTTTATGAATTGTAACATTTTAAAATAAACCAACTTGAACTTAAATAGGCAAGAAAGTACAAAGAGGCTTTGCCTTGCTTTCATTTTCATCAACTCCATGCAATAGATTGACAGATCCAAATGGAATTCCTGCACCAAATGTACCACATATAACTTAGGTTATAATAATGACAGATCGAATTTAATGGACAACATTTAAGCTAAGGGTGAATGAAATATGTAATTGATAAAAGAAACAATAATCAGCTGTCCAAATTATGCCTTAGCAATCAAAACATGAGACTACGTTCCTTTTCTTTTCTTTTCTTTTTTTAACAAGTAAAACCTGAGACAATAACTTGGAAGCAAGAACACAGAAAATTGAAGCTTTGCGTAGCAAGAAAACGCTTTCATGAAGATCAAGCTTCACAAGCAACTTACAAATCGTCTTCACCACCCATAACTATAAACCTCTTGAACAACTTAGTTTGCAAGAATACCAAACTATAAAAATTGCAATCCATAGCCAACTCCCCTCATAAATTTAGGTCTTCCTACAATACAGTCTATAGAGACACATTGGTTCAACGAAAGACACTATCTAAAATCTCAAATACATACATACATGTAGTTATGTATGTATCATTGCAAAGAATAGCAAACTATAAAGCACCGACACTTCAAAACAAGTGTCGTATCCATGTCGGACATACGGACACTTATGGGACACACCACTTGTTTAATTAATTTTATTTCAGGGGACACGCCGAGGACACACTAAGGACATGCCAAATTGTCATTTCCCCCATTTTATTTAGTACTTTTGATGAATGTTGAATGTTTATTATTTTTTTCTTAGAGATAAATACTTAATAGATCATCCATAAAATAAAAAACCAAAAAAAAAAAAGATATAAACTGCAAGTATTAATTTAAAATTTTTTTTTTTAAAATTAAATAAAATTAGAGTTAGTTTTTGTTAATATTGATTGTTTGTGGATGTAATATTAACCTAGATAGTAAATAAAAATATATTTTATTGTCGTGTCCCCCCCCCCAATGTCCGTATCCCTATTTTTTTGAAATCGCCGTGTCCTATGTCTGCATCCATGTCCATGTCCGCATCCATGTCCATGTCCGCATAGGGGTGCAACTTGGACGGGCTCAGACCTAGCAACCCAAGCCCAGCTCAAATTTTTTTAGGGTTTGGACAAAATATTTTCAAATTTGGTATGAGCTTGGGCAAAAATTCAGAAGCCCAAATTAAATCTGGGCGGGCTTGAGCAAAGACGTCAAACAATCCGAACAACCCGAAGCCCGAATTATACATATATGGATATATAAAAATATTAAATATACATATAAATTATTAGTCATTACATAATATTAAAGTAATTTAGATTATTAAATCCTATTGAATATATATTATACATACAAATAACATAAAATCTTTTTTTTTTTATTTTCACTCATAAATTGTGAGAACTACTATAGCAACATCTCTCTTACATTATATAAATTATTTTTTTTTTATGGTTTTAATGATTTTCTATATAAAAAAAAATGTAAATAGAGTGAAATTTTAATAATTTAATAATGTAGCTGCCTAAAAATAAAAATAAAAACTAAAATTCATTTACAATTCGGGCAATTTGGGTTTAACTCCGGTTGGGCTTGGGCAGACAACCTCGGGTTACAATTCGGACTTGAGCGGGCTTGGACAAGTCTCAGCACAACTTGGACTGGGCTTGGACAACCTCCCAACCAGACCGAACCCACTAGAGTTGCACCCCTATGTCCGCATCCGCATCCGCATCCGTGTCCATGCTTCTTAGATAGCAAATAATTGATACAATTAATCAATAGAAAGTCATGAGTTAAAAACATATAGATAACATTCCCAAGAAAAATCAACTTTTTAGACTAAAACTCAATTGAAAAATACAAGATATGCAAAACTGCAATATAAAGCAATGTTTTTCAAGTCTTGTTTATGAGTAGTGATACCAGTAGGAGTATCAAAAGCAGGTAGTAATCTATGGGCCAAATCCTCAGCTAATCGGAGTAATTCATCATCATAGGATGGAAACTTCATGCCCTGAAATTAAAGAAATAAATAATTAAAATAAAACATCCTAAGAAGACCTCCTTAAGGATTTATCCAACACAAACATAATTGAGCCATTTTAAAGAGTATAAGGAAGGTTCCTTCTGCCTCGAGCATCAGACAAATTGAGTAAAATTTGAAAGGAAGTGAAAAGGAACAATCTTTTGAACATTTGCCAATAACATAATTGCAATTGCAACTAGTAGCTCAAACATTGCACTGTTCCTTTGGCTCTCCTTACAAGTCCTTTTTTTTCTCTAAAATTTTGGTTGCCTCCAGAGAAATCATCTCATGCATTGTAGAGATATGAGAATATTGTAATAAAAAGATTAATACGTTACAACAATGTTAGTAATACCGTTGCATGATCACTTGCAATAAGATGGGCAGAAAGTAAACCTCCAAGGATCCGGATCGTAGTCTCAAACACTGATACTGTCTTGTTCTACAAATTTGATCACAAAAAACAAAAAACAAAAAAAAAAGAAGCTACAATATCAGTTTGCCTAATTCAATCTGCAGCAACCAAACAGTATGCCTAGCTGCTCATAACCAAAGACTCAAATTATATCAAAGCAAAATGCTTGAATCTTATTCAAAATAGGACTTGCATAATTTAGAAAAATCCAACCAAAAATAGCAACTTGAGAATACATAAACTTTCGACGGTAATAACCAAATATGACTTTTTCGATTAGAGTTTATCTTTTTTATGGCTTTCCCGTAACATGGTGGGTTTATAGATGACTAATTATCAAGTGCCACATAAGGGACAACAAAAAAAGAACACACTGTAATCTTTTCACCTCTCATTTCAATTTGAAATCCTCCACCGACCTTGGCACCTCTCCACCCAACACCAAACCATTCTCCATTTTTTCCACCACAACATTCCCTCCCTGTATGTTTCCTCTCCTCCACCTCTCACAGAAAAACCCCTCAACAACACTGTTATCAATCAACGAATCAGAGAGTGATTCACAAAATCAAACCTATAAAAATCAAGTTATTGAAATAGCAATTAAATCAAAGTAATATACACAAGAAGTTGTTCAGATCAGATCAACTATTATTGATTCATCCATAAGGTGGGTTGAGATTGTTGGTCGCGATGGGGTTTGATGTTGGGTTTGTTGTTGATGGTGGTTGGGGGTTGTAGTGGTGGTGTTGTGGGAGAACAAATAGCTGTGGTCTGTTGTAGACAGAGAAAGGGGAGGAAGCTTGAGTTGGTCAGTTGTGGGTCTGTGGAAGGGAGGATGGTGTGGCGGCTCTGGTTGGTAGTGGAGGTTGGGTTACAGAGAGAAGGAAGGAGAGGAGAAATAGGGGGAAACGATTAGGTCAGTGATAAAATTTTGGTTTGGTCCACAAATTGACTGATGTGGCATTTAATTATAGGCTTTCCATAAATCAAATGCTTTACGGAGGAGCCGTGAATAAGTTAAACCCTTCCGATTAACAACCGAGATTGAGAAATAAAGGGCCCATACCCAAACAACCAACCCGGAAAAGAAAAGAAAAATATAAAGAGTAAAAATATTCAAATATCCCTAATTAAAATCTAATGACCCATTAATGCTTGGACTTTCTGTCCTCTCCTTGTTGCTCCTACATCACAACCTCCACGAAAAAATATGACGCATCTTAGAATGAACAAAATTTTCAAATGAACCAACAGTACAAGGAGAAAGCCAAACAAGTAAACTCAACCTCAGCGGCATCATGATAGGGAATCACAAAAATGGAAGCTCAACATGGAGGACCAGGTGTTTTACATAAATGGTACTGTTATAGCTGTTCATATCACTATCTATCCACTAAAACCGACAATCGCTCTAATAAACAGATAGCTTCAGACAATCCAAATTAAGCTTAGGAATCTAATCTGTATTACGATATTAGAATCTAATGTTTACAATTTCTCAAGAATGAAAGAACACTTGACGCAGTATGATAATCTTAACACAAGAAGTGCAACACTCACAATATCAAACTGAAGGTTTTTACCAATCCATTCGACAGACTCGGTGAAGCGTTCTCGGTCCCCAAGCAAAGCCAACATGTCTAAGGAGTCAATCTGTGACATTGGCATTACTGCAACATCAAGTACAAGTTTACTTCTAAAAAATTAACATAATAAAATAAAACAAAGAAATGGCTCATTTTACCAGGGTTAAGGCATAGCCACCAAGTGTATCTTCCCCTTCACATGATAGAGGTTTTAATTCATCGAGTGGAAAAGCATGTTCCATGTATCCATTGAAAGCATGATAGAACATTTCACGCACCTAAATTATCAAGAAAACACTTTATTTTACAATAAAAAACCATAAGGGTCAATTGAAAAAATTAATGCAAAAACCATCCAAAACCCAAAAGGCAGTGTGCAATAATGTGCCCAGAACTGCCAAGTTGAGACGCAATGCTAGACAGACCGAGAAATCTAACAGAACCACCAAAAGCAATGTTGTTCCAAAACTATATATATCATCAAGTAACTCTTAAAAAAACACTCACATTTATTCTGTCATTAAGAACCTACATGGCAATGCTAATACATCATCCTCCTATCAAAAATTAAAGTAAGCGAACCTACATGGCAATGCTAATACATCATCCTCCTATCAAAAATTAAAGTAAGCACTTCAAATTAAGGAGACAACAGTAATCAATGACAATACCATTGAGATATATGTATATAAGGCTGCCTTTAGATAATTTTGAATTAAACTTCCACGATGATTTATATTTTTACCTTGACATACAAAACTTTGTTATCAAATTTACCTCTTTCACCAACTATTTGAATACACATATAGTACTAGCCCTAGGGCAAAGCCATAGAGTGAGTTGAATAGCAATGGACACTATAGAAGTTTCTCAAAACCTCAGATCAGATGAAGCTTTGTGTCATTGACATAGAAATCAATCACAAGATTTAGCTCATAAATAGTTAAATTGGTTAAATCTAACATATATATGTGTGTGTGTGTGTGTGTGGTTATAAGAAATGGATACCTCATCTCTGAGCTGCTTCGCTTCATCGGTAGTGACACTCTCGGCGAGATTTCTGCAGATAAAAATGTCCGAAAATATCAAGATCAAGAATAATGATGGACTCCATTGTTTCATAGCTTTCTCTTTCTCTCTCTCTCTCTCTCTCTCTCTCTAGGTATGTATGTATTTATATGTAGTGTCCCAGAACAGTAAATTTTGCTACATTGAGAACAGAACACACTACTCCGCGTCTGGGCCGGCTGTTTCGGCAGAAAGGTCAGCCACCCAGACGACGCCGTTTACTGCTAAGATGGCTAGTGCTTTGTTTTTGGTTTTTTATTTTTTATTTTTTATTTTTTATTTTTAGTTGCCTTTAGAAGTGGGTTGGTTTTTTAATTTTTTGGCTTTTTTAGCTATTTTAGCCTGGGCTAAAAAGCTTGGTTTGGGGAGGACTTTTTGACTTTTTGGTTTTTTTAACTTTTTTTTGTGAGAAAATAGTGTAATGATTATGGATTGGATGTGATATTTTGTTTTTTGTGGCTAAAATAGCCTATTTTGTCTTTTGTGGCTAAAATAGCCAAAAAAACCCCAACCCAACTTGCCAAACGGAGCCTTAAACATAATCTGAGAAAAATATTTTTTATAGGAAACATTAAAATTCAGTGGTAACTTTAAAAAACAAAATTATAAAATTATAAAAAAGTATAATATTTTAATTATCAAAATTTATAAACTTCATCATTGATTTGTAGTTTTTGTAGGTCTTTTTAGTTGTAGGATATTATTGGAGAAAAAAGATTTTGTGTTTGGAAATATAGTTACGTTTTTTTGTGGTTAGATGTGATGTTTGTGAGAAAAATAAATGAAATGATTATAGAATTTGATGTGATATTTTATTTGGATTGATTTTTTTTTGTTTTGTAAAATATTTGTCTTGTAGTGAAAAAAATCAAAAAAAAAATCACAAAAACCTAGTTGCCAAACATTACTAAACTTTTTTGTTTGTATAGGATTGTTACTTATGTTTTTCATTTCTTATTTTAGTTTTACTTTGTCGGTGTTTGGAAAGTGAGTTTTTATGTAAGTTTTTTTAATTGTAGGATATTATTGAATAAAAAAAAATTTAGTGTTTGGCCAGATGGTTAGATTTTTTTGTGGTTGAATGTGATATTTGTAAGAGAAAAAAATGAAATGATTATGGGGTTGGATATGATATTTTGTTTGATTTTTTTTTTTTTTTTTTGGTTCTGCAAAACCTTTGTCTTTTAGTGGAAAAAATCAAAAATAAATCTGGGAACCAAGTTCCCAATTAAAAAAAGAAGAAGAAGAAAGGAAACTATAAATTAATTCATTTTATTTGATTTAGAGAATTGAGATTTTCATAAATTCCTTAACATTGAGAAATTATCTTTTTATTTAAGAAAATAATCCTCGAATCAAGCTCACTAGGAATGGCAACGGAACGGGGCGGGGCCGGGGATCACCCTCCCCGTCCCCGATCGCAGAACTTCCCCCGTCCCCGGCCTTGATCCCCGACCGGGGAACCCACTATCGCCCTCACCCCCGCCCCCTAACGGGGATCGGGTTTCCCCGATCCTGAAAATCCCCAGCTATAGCGATCTCGGTTGCCCCTTTACTGTTCTGTTGTATTCCGGACTCGGTTCCGCGGAGTTGGTAGTTGTATCTATCTGGTTGTCGTCCTTTAATTCCATTTGTTTGAGTTTTAGGATGTGTTGGACATGTTTCGAACAGGTGGGTTGAACCTTGGTCTGAAATCTTGTTGCCAGGTTTTTGGTCGTTCTGCTCGAGCGGGCCTTATTGCGCTCGAGTGGAGAGTGCACACTCCCAGTATTTCGTGTCCCTGCAAAACTTCTGCAGGTGTGATTTTTACACTCGAGCGGGTAGTACTTTTTGGTGTAAGTTCTGGGAAGGGAAATCCACGCTCGAGCGGACTGGTTTTCGCGCTCGAGCGGATGTACTTTATTCTTGTGTCTTGGCCCTCGAGCGGGCCTTCTTGCGCTCGAGCGTACCTAGTTTTTATTCTTGATGCTCGAGCATTGTGTTCTCCGCTCGAGCGGGAATGTCGTATATCAGTTGGCAGCAGGGCATTTTAAAATCACTTTTTACATTCTCTCTCTCTCTCTTACTTTCTAAAAGCCTATTTTGAGAGTTCATCTCTCTAGAAACTCTCTTCTCTTTAAGGTTTGATTTAGTTAGAGTGTTTCACTATCCTCCGCCCTTTGTAAAAAGTGTGTTGATCGTCAAGGGCTTCGTTTTGATCCGAGAATCGTGGTGTTTAGAGCATTTTCACTTTTTTCTCCTTCTCCGTTTGAGCTCTAACTTCGAGATAGGGATATCCTACTCCTTCTCATGAGTTTTGTCTTTAAATTTTAGTATTTTGATGAGTTGGGGGTTGTTGGGTAATTTTGAGAAAGTTTGGGCCTTTGTGTAATTTTACAAAAGTTGGGGTTTTGTTTATATGAACTTATATGCATGTTTGGCATAGAGAAATGAGATCAATATTGAATTATTGGTGAAAATGGAACCTTAGGGTTGTGATGTTGATTATGGGAAATGCTCTAATTACATTGATAAATTAATTGGTATAATTAATTTGAAGAAAAGAAGAGTTAAATTGAGAATGTTGGAATTGAATGTGTATGGGATTAAAGGGTGTAGTTTGATTCGCTCATCGCTCACCTAGTTGAAATGTTAATTATATATCCATTTGATGCATTTATTTTCAGTATAGAAATAACTGCTTTGGGCTATCGGTGGAGGATAGTCTTGAATGTTGTAGACACTGCATGATGATTAGGCAAACTAAAACTAATTGATTGAGTATGCTATTGAATATAGCACCAGGAATAATACATTAATTCTATGTATTGATTGATTGTATATGATCTATGTTTATATGCATGTGCTGTGTGGGAGGAGATGGTGGATGTACTCCACAGTTTAGGGGAATATAGGGGATGGACCTCTAAACCGGATTTTGTGTGACATTGATACAGCACTACAATGTGTATCGAGTGTTGATTATGGAAGTGTTTGAATTGATTCGATATAGCACTAAAATGTATATCGTTATCAATTGTAAAGTATAGAAGTGATTCTATGTTATGTTGATATAGCACCGAAATGTGTATCTTTCACAAAGTGTGGGAATGGTTTACGTGTTATTGATACAGCATTAAAATGTGTATCCCTCATGAATTTTGAAAGTGTTTTAAAGATGAGTCTAAATCTCATTAAGTTATTTGGCTAGGTGTTGAGCCTTGTTTTCAAACTCAAAATTGGAAAAGACATGGGAAATGCAATGTAACATGGACTTAATGTCATAAAATCGAAATGTGATATATGTGGAGGTATCTGTGTTGACCATCTATCAATTGCTAATCTTTTAGTCATTGTTCATGGCTGGTTTAGTGTATTTCTATTGGGCTGTGGCTCACCCTTTATGGGACATTATTTTCAGGTACAGGTAGCATGCCACCTCCAAGGACATAGCTTGGGAGGCTAGAGATAGACAGACTGCTTTGTTATTTGCTTTCTTTTGATGTATTACATGTAAATTCAAGCAAAGGGCTTAATATGTATTGAGTTAGCATTCTTCTTTTTGTAACCAAGTGTTAACTTGGAAAGCTGTAAGCCCGTAGGGCACTTGCTTTTGTTGTTAACATGTAATACTTTTGTAAGAACTATTCAGATTAATGAAAAGATGATTGGTTTCTTTGTATCAATGCATGTCTAAGTTGATGGGTTTAATGCTATTATTTTGAGGGCGTTACACCGGCCATCAACAACCCACTTAAGCTCAAATACAACATCACCAACACATCTTCAAAAGAAATTAGCTCTAAAAAAAAAAATAAAGAAATAAAAAAAAGATCACAACATCAAAAGATCACAACATCAACAGATCATAACACCAGCATAACACCAAGAGATCTTCAAAAGAAATTAGCTCCAGAAATTTTTTTAAAAAAATAATAATAAAATAATAAAAAAAAAGATCACAACATCAACACCAACAAATCTTCAAAATCGGCGATTCAGAGCCAATCTCTCTCATCCAAGCCAAGAAAATCCCAAAAGACTCATTCCACTTAGCCTACCTTATCTACTTCACCCTCGGCACCGGCTACCTCCTCCCCTGGAATGCTTTCATCACCGTCGTCGATTACTTCTCCTACCTCTACCCTGACGCCTCCGTCGACCGCGTCTTCTCCGTCGCCTACATGGTCGTCTGCGTCATCTCCTTTATCGGCGCTGTCGTTGTGTGTGTGTGTGTGTGTGAGAGAGAGAGAGAGAGAGAGAAAGAGAGAGAGAGAGGAAGGTGAAACCCTAGAGATTGAGAGACAGAGCAGAGAGAGAGGGGGAGGGACAGCTTTGGGTTCGTGTTTGTGTTGTGTGTGTGTTATGTTCAGCCAAAGCCCTAAAACACATACACATGTTATATATAGCCAGGGACAAAATAAGCATTTCACATCGAGGGGCAAGTGGGGCAGGGATCGGGGCCGGGGCTGGGGCTGAAATAGATATCTCCGTCCCCGGCCCGAATGTCATCGGGGATTCAATTTTTAATACCATCCCCGCCCCGTCGGGGGTATTTTTCGGGGAATAACCGCTCAATTCGGGGACGGGGGTTCGGGTCCCTGTCGGGTCGGTTTCTGATTGCCATCTCTAAAGCTCACTCCTAAACCGAACAAGGATAGGCTACGACAAACTTGGAAACTTGGAGTCAATCACAATCGACAAACATATTAATCATCTTTTATCCAAACGCGAGCCTCAATTAATAATTTGTGTCTACTTGTATAAGAATTATTAAGAAATTTACATTTACACTCTTAAGAGGTGAAATTTGCATTAATACAAAGATCAAAGTTTGTCCACAGCTTGAGTGTATCATACATATAAATTTCAAATTTCTTGTTCATATAAGTTGATGATTATGTTGTTTTAACATTTTAGATATTTTTTTGTTATTATTATTATTATTATTATTATTCATCCTGAGAATTGTGGAATCCAGTGTAGATATTTGGCCCAACGCACGACCATACCATAGTTGGAAAAATACCAAATGTTGGAATTAGGTGAGTGAATTCAAATTGGCTGAAACAGACACCATTTAAAACTTAAAACTTTAAATAAATAAATTTTAAAATAAATCTGGAGTTTCAAAAACAAAAAACAAAAAACAAACAGAATTTCACCTGAAAAAATAAACTGAAAACTTTCCTCCCATGTGGCGGGTGAGGAATAGCTTCCCCACTACTCGGCGAAGTGAATGATCAAAAAAATAGCTTTTTGAGCCAAAAATTGTCAAAATTCTACAAAAAAATAAAATTTTCAAAAGTTTTAACTAAAAGAAACAAATGTGAAATCTCAGAAAACATATTATCAGAAGGCATTGGACTAAATTTGTGGGGGGAATCAAATTCACAATTCAGGGAATAAAAAAGTTATAAACACTGACATTGTTTACTAATTTTGATAGGCTTCATGATATAAAGAACAACAATGCTACGTATCTCGAATTTAAACTTGTCTCGAATGGCTCGAATTTCACCGGCAAAAAAGTTGACAGCCGTAGTCGACAAGGTGACAACCGTGGTAGACAAGTGTTTCATCCGATCGTCCGGGTGGTTGTCCAGCCGGTCGACCGGTGAACACAAATTCAAGCAATTCGAGACAGTTCAATTCGAGTCACCAAAGATTTCTATATACAGAAACTGTAGAAATTTGAATAGGGATTGCTTCCTTTGTCCCCGAGATGCCAATGATAAAGCTTATGCGTTCTCAGTCAGTCAGATTGCAATCATAGTCCTCTGTCAAATCAAATAACAACAATATAATAAGAGTAATCAGCAGCATGCACAAACTGGAGAAGTTAAAAAGTGTAATCTTGACATTGGTGACATTGAAATTTTACACAAACCATCCATCAAAGGAAGACCCATAAAATAACCGAATTTTTTTCAGATAAACCTAGCTTCAATGGAGAGGCATGGACACCAACTGGCCATTACAAAAAGTATAAAGACATATTCCTGACTGTTTGTTTAAGAGAAAGACAACAAAGTAAATGATGGTTAACTCAAAGCTGTAAAATCTTTCCACAAACATCCTACAAGTGGCTTCAATTGGTTACAGATTTATATCATTAGGGTTCATCAATTCATGCCTGTGGACAAGAAACACAAATGATGAATGAGTTGTAATATATAAAGAAACCTCAAATCATTTTGATGGAAAATTTCATCTATCAGACAAACTCATCAAACATTGAATAACATATACAACAAAAGCATATCATAAAAGTAAATCAATAAAATAATCACAAAACAATTTTCCCACAATTTTCATCACATGGCCAAACCAAAGGGAGCCAACTTTTTCTCTTTAATTTTGCCACAGGTCCAAACTACCTCTAGCTCCATAATAGTTTATTTAATTCCTTAAATTCCTTTTATGACTTCCTCATCATCCATCAAAACATGCTGCTTTCATCCATTCACAATTTATTAATATTATTATGTTCTTACTTTGCCTACTGAAGTAGAGCATGTAAAGAAAAAAGAAAGGGCAACTATGGAATTTCACATGGAGCATTCCTGAGGCTTGTATAATTATGGTTAGGGTCAATTTGAGTCTCCTTTTTATGTATAGAATGCTGTTTGACAGATTTTTGGTCTTTTATTAGGTTTTGAGTGACAAAGGTTTTTTGGTAATTAGGAGAACCAGGAACCCATAAATGCAATGTAATCTTAATATTCATTACTGTGAAGATTTGCAAGTAAGCTTTTGTAGAAGCCTTCCACATTATAGAACCCTAACTCTACAAGTTTCCCATAACCAAACTCAAACCCACCACAATACCGATTTCTATCCTACATAACATGTAATAAAATAAACTTGTTGTAAGTTCTTTATTTTCTCGCTCAGATTTGAATAAAGGTCATCATGGCCAACTTGAATCATCCAAACAATAATGTCACTCTTTACGACTGTCATGTGGGATGTCCTTGGGAAACAGTATCCTTCATTTATTTTTTTTGTTTTAAATTATTTTGTGTTTCAATTGGCATCATACACCATCTGGAAGTGAGAGCCTAGTCTGGAGTAGAATTTCAAAGTGAACTTAGTTCCACTGTCCTCAAGGTGCCATTAGATTACCCTACACTGGAAAACAAAACAAATGTAATGGAACGGGAATTACTTATTCTTACTCATGTTATGTCAAAGAACCATTAAACTAACGCTAGCACAAGTTGTGCAAGCTAGGACCAACACAAGTCACCGAGGCATAAAATATCAGTATTAATATTATAAGAGAATCAGCAGATGCAATTAATACGTGGAGGTGGGTATCTTACCAAATCCTCATGCAAACAGAAGATGGAACTGTAATAATGACAAGTTACAAAACATATGTTCCACAGTTAGAACTTTACCTGCTGCTTTTTCTTTTTAGGCCTCCTTTTCCTTCGGGGTTTGCGAGCATCGGAGTTGGAGCTCAAGTTACTACTGTGCCCAACCTGTGAATCTGAGGATCCTCTGTTTCTGAAAGAAGATTCACTCGTGCTATTTGAGGTGTTGCTGGATGTGCACACTGCATCCCTCCGTAAGGATTGTTTCTTGCTAGATGAGCCTCCAAACCTTGATTTAGCATGAGCCAAATTTGAAAACGAATTTGTTGAAGGTCGAGGAGGAGGCATTAGAGCTCGCGCAGAGATCTGCCTCTATATAAATCCAAGGAAACAATGGAAAGTAAGCCAACACGGTCAATAGATTCACAGACCCCCTTATAACAACCAAATATACAAATTCAGTACAAAACCTGATTCCTTTCATCACTGGACATGCCAGATGCTGCTTTACCAGAAGCACTGGAAGCTTGCTCCCTACAAAGCAAATGATAGAAAGCAAAGATGCAATTTCAGTCAACACTAAAGCCTACAGATGAAAATGCAAAATCAAAGGGGTCGTAGAGGCATTTTAGCTTCAAAGCAGACAAAACTACATTCAAAAGCAATAACTGGAATCAGCACCAGGATTTGCTAATTCTAGTAGTTAAGCATAATCTATCACCACTAAATATATTGGTGCAATCACAGTATTACACAATTTTCAAAGTTTGAAAAATACTAGTACTAAACAATTTATCCTCAATCACAGTTACACATTAATGCACTAATTTATCAAGAGACATCAAAATTAGTACATTGACTCCAACCCCTTCCAGCAACTCTCCAACAACTGATATCAAAATAAGAAACAATGGGTGCAAATGCACAACCAAGAACAACGAGAAGAAGAAGAAGAAGAAGAAGAAGAAGAAGAATTAATGCACCATTTGGCATTGTTTTTGAAAAGCTGTTTTTTATTCTCAAACACCAAAACAAACAAAAAACTGTTTCCTAAGTTCTAAAAAAATCAAATCTATAGAAAAATGAAAATGGCATAAAAACAAAGATGTTTTCAAACTTCCCATTGTTTTTTTCCTCTGAAAAAATAAAACTTGAAAACCATAAACAATATTAAGAACATTAGGAATGATGTCAAACGGGCCAGTGTTCTCAATCAAGATAAAAAATTCCCATCACAAATATAATTTATACCTGGCACTTTTATCTGTCCATTCATCATCTGCATCAGCTTCATCACTAGAGCTTCCAGTTAAGAAGAAATCATCCTCGCTCAGATCCAAAAGCCCATCATCCTCACTTCCTGTCTCTGTTAGGGGATATCAAAAGGAAATAATCAATAATAATAGAATAGCAGGATAAGCTCTTTTTTAAATTTAAATAAATAAATACACTAGCAAGTGAAGCAAGTGTATATCTATATACATATGGAAGCTTGAACCTGTAGATACTGCTTTAGCTAACAGGCAGAGGTGACAATTGCAAGTTATATAGAATTTAAAACAAAAGTAAAAAAAACAGGGATTCTATGATAGTTACTGGGATAAGTCACACAGTGAAAATACCTTCCAGATCCTTCCCACTTGCTGCAGCAGCAATTATGTTTGCTTTTATCTGCTTGCGTAATCTATTTCTTCTATCAACTATGTCTGTGTCATCACCTCCCATGAACAAAGATACATATTTCTCTGTCTTGGGAAAGAACTGCAGTTCAAATAAAAGATCAATTTTATCCACAAATAAATAACATCTAGTACCGTGCATACATTTCCCGACAAAGTACGACAGAACTATAAAATTTAATTATCGAATTAATCACCAAGGCCAAGTATCTCTCGTTTCCCTTATGTGAAAGAAATGGTTGTGAATATGTCACATGGCATATCGTTCACACACACACACACACAAACAAAAAAAAGGTTGCAGAGTTTCTAATGTATAGCTTACCCTAACATATTCAAGATCTTCTTTCAATTTAGAAAGCTGCTCAGCAATCTCTGCCTCTTGGGACTGACCAGACGAAGCCCGTTGCATTTTCTCCAACCGTCTAATTCTTCGTTCAATCTTTCTTCTCTCTAACCATGGAAAAATATTAGTTCCACCACGAAATGGGTATAAATTTGGCAGGAAAATATAAACTTCTATAAACAAATATGATTATTTTTTTTTTTACCAAAAAATTTTATCTTTCTGTCACGCAAGAATACTTTACGTTCCACAGCAAGCCGATTGTGAATCTCCTGTTGGTTCTTGATCCCTTCTAATTTCTTTTCTTGAGCCTCTCTAACTTCAGGTGGAAGATCCTAAAATAACCCATTTGAGTCAAGACAGTAATAAAAACCCATGAACCAGAAGGAAAAAAAAATACACCTAATTCACAACACTCATGCCCCTCCTATGATGCTAAAGATTCCCATATCAATGAAATGTTTTCCTCAGGCAGTACTCATAGTTACTGGAAACTGAACAACATGCAAAATAGGCCTATCATGCTAATAGAGAAGTTCTAAAGTCAATTAAATCAGAAGATGAAAATAAATTTATACATGATCAGGATTCAGGGTCTGGAACAATTTGTCTAGAACAATTCATCTTTCAGGGAAACAATCAAATTTTTATTTTTTATTTTTTATTTTTTATACAGGTAAATGGTCTTCCATTACAATGGCGATTGAAACTAATAGAGAGTGAAAAAACATAGATACCTTTCGGAGCATACGTTCGAGAGATCGAATCTGATTCTTGAGAGAGACAGACTTGGGCTTAGCCTTAGGCTTAGGTTTCGCTTTCTTATCGATATCTAGTGATTTGGAGCGCCGATTACTGCTCACCGGTTTGCGACCGGCGACCCTGCGCTTTCCGTAGCCACCGTGCGCCATTTTTGCTACGTCAATGTGCAGAGCGAGAGAGAGAGAGAGAGAGTTGTTGATGACTAGGGCATATATACGTGTGTGTGTATATAGAGCTTTGTGTTAATGAGAAGTTGATGGTTCAGACCTCTGCAACTCCGACGACTATGGTTCACACATGATGATGGTGACGGTGACGGTGACGGTGATGGTGGCGCTTTTCTTATATTAAGCCTTTTTGCATCTTTATTTCTAAACTAGCCTTATTTTGGACGGAATTTTTAAATTAAGTTAAAGCGCTTTATAAATCGTGTTTTCATTATTTGAAACTTAAAATTTAATAAATAGTGAAAACGTTATTTCAAAACGTACTTTTGATTAATAAAGCGCTGTTTCAAATTATGCTTTTAATATAAAAAAATTTTCTGAAAAAAATGCTATTTGAAAGAGCACTTTCAGTGTGCATGCGAATAAAACGCTTTCACTGTGTATGCTTGTTTTCTTAAGAAAATATTTATAATATATTAAAATGTGATAAAAAGAAAAACTTAAGTACTTTGCAGCACAAATACAAATGGTAGTGCACTTGTTTTGCAACTATAGTGGCGTAGGTTCAATCCGCGGGAGTTGCTAACTTTCAATTAAATTCAACTCTTTATTTTTTTTTGTTTTTTTTCTTTCCACTCACTCTATACTTTATATATTTATTATGTAATTTTTTTATCAAAAAAAAGTAAAATGTTTGTTTGGTTAACTAAATTTTTTTTCTATAAAATACAATTTTTTCCAAAATGTCAACATGATTGTTTAAAAAGTATTCAGTGTATTTGGTTTTAATTTTTTGAATTTAGTTATTTGAAAAGTGAGTTTTTTTATTTTCGTATTTTTTTTAGTAAATATTTTTAAAATTTTAAACATTTTTTTTTACTTTTTAGATGCACCTTAGTTAAATGTATCTAAAAAATAAAAAAATTGTGAAAAAATATTTTAAAAAATTAATAAATACATAAAAATAAAAATAAAAATGTACTGAATTTTTTTTTTTTGTATTTTTAGTATTTTTTCAGAAAAATATTAATTTTTTCAGCAAAATGTACTCAAAAAATGTATTTTGGTACATTTTAAAAGCGTACATTTTGCTGAAAAAATATTTTTTGAGTACGCTTTCACTGTACGCTTTCACTGTACCCAAATGTCTCATTGCCAACAGGTTCAAAGCCGAACATCAACGACCTGCCGGACTAAATTGCAACCCCTACCCATACCAGAGTGGAAATGGGAGCATATCACCATGGATTTTATTATGGGATTACCTCGCTCCAGAAAAGGTATGGATTCAATTTGGGTTATTGTTGATAGATTAACCAAATCTGCTCACTTCTTACCTGTCAAGACAATCTATAATGCGGATAAATTGGCTGTTATCTATATTGATGAGATTTGTAAGACTGCATGGAGGCCTGTGTCTATTGTTTCTGACAGGGATTCGAAGTTTACATCGAGGTTTTGGCAAAGCCTACAAACTGCACTGGGCACTGAACTGAGACTGAGTATGCTACATCCTCAGACAGATGGCCCAATCGGAAAGGACCATCCAAACTCTGGAGGATTTACTGAGAATGGTGTGTCCTTGATTTTCAGGGAGACTGGGAAAGTCATCTGCCTTAGCTGAATAACGCCTACAACAACAGTACCATTCGAGTATAGGTATGGCACCCTTCGAGCATTGTATGGCAGAAAATGTAGATCTCCAATTTGCTGGGCAGAAGTTGAGATGGGCCTTTGCTTGGGCCCGAGATTGTGTATGAAACAACTGAAAAAGTGAAACTGATACAGCAGAGACTGAAAACTGCACAGAGTAGACAGAAAAGTTATGCAGATGTCAGAAGACGGGACAGAGAATATGAAGTGGTGATCACGTTTTTGTGAAAGTGACACCGATGAAGGGCCAGACTCGTTTTGAGTCAAAGGCAAGTTAGCGCCAAGATACGTCGGACCATATGAGATTATTGAGAAAATCAATCCGGTGGCGTATCAAGTTGCGCTCCTCCTGAAATGGAACACATGCATAATGTTTTCCACATTTCTATGTTAAGAGATTATACTCCGGGATCCGTTCCATATAATAGAGCCTACCCACGTAGTGGTTGAGTGATGACTACACTTACGAAGAACGACCTATACAGATTGTAAACCGACGATCAAGAAACTGAGGAACAAAGAGATCCGCTAGTAAAAGTTGACTGGCAGAACCACGGTGGCGTATATGCCACTTGGGAAAGGGAAGATGACATGGCCAAATGATACCTGAACTGTTTCCACTGAATCCTGTTTTCTTCCAGAATGAAGGTAACTCGGTTTAGAGACTAAACTCTTTATAAGGAGGGGAGACTTGAACAACCCCCATACTGTTTACTGATTAATTGACCGATTGATTACCGATAATCACCGATTACTGTTAAACGGAACTGATAATGACTGATAACTGACTGATAATTGAACTGATTAAAAGTACTGAACTGACTGACTGAAATTGGAAACCGAATTGATTGAGTATATGTTAGTTAAATTGCATTCTATCTGTTTGACTGTATGATTATCTGTTCATGCTTATATGTTTAACTGTAAATTGAAGGCCATATCGGCGCCGAATTAGAAACCGATTGATGTTCCATGATCCCAGAATTAATGTGATTTTTATGGTATAATTATCTGAAATTGATTAGGTATGATTAAATTAAGCTAATTAAAGAGTTGGACTTAATTACCGTTTTGCCCTTGAGTGGGCCACTATCTCACACATCTTTAGCTTGTATACACTCATACACTTGAGCCAAAGACAACATTTCCTCAGCCATTTCCCTCTCATTGCCGACCATAGAGAGAGAAAAACTAGAGGAGTGGAGTTCATCTCAATTTTGCTTGTAAATTGCTTGTAATTGAAGAAATTGTTGAAGTGATTGCATATTTGAGCTCCCTTCTTGAACTACAAGACTAAAGGTAGCTCCATTGTCTTCTTGTTCATGTTTTGAGTTGATTCTTGCATGATTCATGTCATATTGAAGGAGTGTAGAGCCAAACATGGTTTAGATGTTGAATTGTGGCTTAATTGTTGCATGCATGTACATATATTGAAGTTTTGAGTTGTAAGTCCATGTTTCCTCACATGCACGTCCATCTTTTGGTCATACTCTATGAATTCATCATGTTCTTGAAGAAATGAGTCCATTTGAACAAGCTTGAAGGTTGAATTTGGTTTGAATCCATGCATGTTTGCATGTTCTTCATATTCTTGAAAATGGGTTTGAATATGGTTTAATTGACTCACCTTGGGCTTGAATTCATAAATTGAGCTTTGAAACTTGTTATACATTGAATTAGTTATGTTTTTCCAGAATTTGGGCCCAAGAGGTCGAGTTTGAGTGGTTGAATGCTTGGTTGGAGCTTGGGAGGCCAAATCTGGAAATTCCAGATTTGGCTTCCTCGCTCGAGCGAAGGTTCCCGCTCGAGCGAGCACCTTGTCCAGGGCTCCGCTCGAGCGACCATCAGCGGACCATCGCGCGTAAAATCTCAGCATCCAGTATTTTTTACTGTTTTGCAGACCGCTCGAGCGATATGATTCTCGCTCGAGCGAAGCCTTTGATTTTGGACTTACGCTCGAGCGGAGAAATGCTCGCTCGAGCGAGGCTCCTAGTTTCAGCAAACTTGCAAAATGTTTTCTAAGTGTATTTTTTGCATCCTCATCCCATCCTAGGGATTCTTAGGCCTAGTTTAAGACATTTAGATAGGATATCGTTGTAGACACACCCAAGGCAAATTAGGGATTAAGTTATGATATTTCCCAACTGTGTAGCTTAGTGTGTGTTCAACCTGTGAACTGTGTAGGGTTGGCAACTAGGGAGACACGCTCTAGCATACTGTAGCCAGAACTCTGTGAGTAACAATTGTGTAAAGATATGTTCAACTGATATCTTTGAATACTGAACCGAACTGTTTATTGAACTGGTATTACTGAATGAATGTATGTCCTTTATTTCTGAACTGTACTGTGCATTCTTAGTACCTACTGCTTTACTGTTACTGTTACTGTTTACTGTTACAGAGATCTCTGTCGGTTCCCTCGTGGAGCCACTACTGTTTACTGACTGATGGCCATCATTACTGTTCGGTCTTTTAAGACCTACTGTTACTGTTATGCTAATGGATGTACCACATATGACTGTTTACTGTACTGAACAACTGAAATACTGATTGAATTGAACTGTTTTCATTACTGTTAGGC